CGAAAACACAGCGCCAACTTCATCTGTTACATCTTCAACCAGTTAACCATTCCTAAAATAAGGGGTCTTGCAAAGTCTTTGAGTACATGCATTCTATATGCTGCAATAACCTAATCGCAGCAAGGCGGATTGAAATAAGAATTACAATTTATAGCACGAGTTTCCGAGTCATTTTTAGGCCCATATGGCGAGCAGGCTCATGGCTGCAGCACCCAGAAACAAAAACACAAACCCAAAGAAATACGCAATCGGATCCTTGGGGGTGTTTTCGTCATGCTCGTCGAACGTCGGCACTAACAAGTCAACGAGTCCGTTGTAAATGAGGATGCCGGCGGATACGGCATTGAACGCGCCCTCAGTCGCAAGAGCTGCCTGGCTGTTGGAGTTATACGAAGAATGGACGGCCAATCCTATAGCCACGCCCAGAGGCGTGGTGAATGCGAAAAGCAGCCCCATGAACAGGGTCTTGAGGTGAGAGAAGCGGCACGGAGCAACCGCAGTACCAAGACTTATGCCCTCAAAGCCCTGATGAACCAGTGGGGACAGGGGGATGGAAGGACGGTGGAAAACCAGTGAGGTGGAGAACTTTAAGACCTTTCACACGTGCTGAAAACTAGCACAATGGCGAGCCCCTTGCGACAACAGAGATGAGGTGGTACGGGCAGAGATGAGGTTATGCGGGGGAGAAAGAGAATGAGGGAGGCATGGCGAAAGACACACACCTGATGGAAGACGAGGGCAATGGCGAGCCCCTTGAGAAGACAGAGATGAGGTGCGAAGGGGGAGAAGGAGAATGACGGAGGCACATGGAGAAAGAGAGGCACCTGGTGGAAGACGAGGGCAATGGCTAGGCCCTTGATCTCGGCGCTGTCATGGTTCGCCCCGAGTGCGATGCCAATGAAGATGGAGTGGAAGATGATACCGGCCTCCAGCGTGTACGCCACTGCTCGCAGCGACGACAGCGCCACCGCCTCCCTCATCTGCCTCTCCTCACTCTCCTCACTCTCCTCCCGCCCCTCCTGCTCCTCCCACTCCGCCGCTTTCCCGGTTTTCATTGCTGCCTTTTCCTCCTCCCCACCTCTCACGTCAAGGGCACAGTCGGGGCACGCGGGGCACTTGGACTCGCAGCACTTAGTTAAGCACTGCGCGTCCGTGCACTTGGCTTCCATGCACTTAGCGTCAGTGCAAGTGGAATCCGCACACTTGGTCCCAATGCACTGGGATTGAACACAGGCAGCAGAGGGGCAGGTGGCTTCCATGCAGGTGACACCACGGCAGGCGTTATCTGGACAGGTTGTGTCTGGGCAAGTGATTCCTTGGCAGGTGGTTTCATGACAGGTGGAGTCAGGACAGGTGGCGTCATGGCATGTGATCTCGTGGCATGCAGTGCTGTGACAGGTGGATTCTGGGCAGTCGTTGCAGATAGCATCGGGGCAAGTCACGTCCGGACACGTGGCATCGTGACAGGTGGCATCATGGCACACCACTTCGTGGCATGGGATGTCATGGCATGCAGCATCGTGGCATGCCTTGTCATGACAAGCAGCAGCAGCAGGGACAGCACTGCATGGGGCGTCACAGCATGAGGGGGACACATGGCTTGATACGGCATGGCATGCCACATCAGGGCTACTGCCCGCATCCTTCTTGCTGCTGCCCCTGCCAGTGCCACTACCCCGGCTCATGCTCATACTGCCATGGCCGCCTTTGCTGATTCCCGCTCCCTTGCGCCTCCCACCAGCCAGCAACGCAGCAACAGCTCGCGCCACTCGACCCACACCACCCGCACCCTGCCTCCGCTTCTTACCGCCACTCCTGCTGCTCCCACCAAAACCACCAGCAGCAGCTGCAGCAGCAGCAGCGGCAGCAGCGGCGGCAGCAGAGGCGGTGGGAGATGCAGCAGAAGCAGAGGCGTGTCTGCGGCGCCAGGAGAGGAGGAGGAGCTTCTTGAGGTAGCACTCAACGAGGAAGGAGCAGAGCGCGGAGAAGAGGATGAAGACGGGCGCCCAGGGGAAGGAGGACGCAGAGAAGTCGAGGCATGGGTTGGACAGCGCCTCCTGTGCGCCTGGTTCAAGAGAAGAGGGGAAGATGGGGAGGAGCAGGGAGCGGGAGGGAGGAGGAGAGGATGAAGACTGGCGCCGAGGGGAGGGAGGTAGAGGAGGAGAAGTCGAGGCATGGGTTGGACAGCGCCTCCTGTGCGCCTGGGTGGTTAGGAGAGGGTGATTGATGGAGAAAAGAGAGGGGTTGGAAGGTTTAGGAAAAGAAAGACTGGCGCCCAGGGGAAGGACAAGGAGAAGTTGGGGAAGGAGAGCGAGGGACGGAATGGTGGAAGACGGAGGGTGTAATGGGGGTAAAAGGAGGAAGTGAAACGAAAAGGGGTGCTACGCAGGGCCTTGATTGAAAGGCAAGATCTAACTCTACCCCTTTTTTACCTCATGAAAGAGATGCAGATGAATCAGCACTGACAAAAACCATTGAACTCGCAGAAATATCTAACGGATACATACATATATAAACATATACATACATATATATGTAAATATATATACATAAATATACATATACATATATGTATACATATATATATATACATATGTATACATGTGCACACACACACACACACACACACACACACACACACACACACACACACACAGACACACACACACACACGCACACACACATATCTGGAAAATATAATACGCACCAGGGAAGATGTGCACGATGGCTACAGCCAGAACAATGCCAGCAGCAGAGGCGCGGAAGAAGAACAGCAGCGTCTTGTGGCGCCCGCGCAGCAGGAATGGCAGGGAGAAACCGATACTGAACGAAAGGGGAGACGGGGGAGGGGTGTGGGGGGGGAGGAGAGGGGTTAAGAGGTGTGAAGAGGTTATGCAGCGGAGGGGTTTCTGCATGTGAAGTGCAGGGGTGAGGAGGGTCGTGATGGAATTCGAGACGTCTCAAAAGGGGTTTCTGCATGTGAAGTGCAGGGGTGAGGAGGGTCGTGATGGAATTCGAGACGTCTCAAAAGGGGTTTCTGCATGTGAAGTGCAGGGGTGAGGAGGGTCGTGATGGAATTCGTGACGACGTGGATGGGAAGGCAATGGAAAGGATCCAAGGCAATGCGGTACAAATGGGTGCGGATAAGTAAGGATGGGTGCGGATGGGTATTGCTGGGAACGGAGGCAGAGGTGCTGGGAAACGGCAATGGCACGACACAACACACACACACCAACTAGAACTGCCTGCTACATCTGCTACATCGAAGGCAATGGCACTACATCTGCTTAGGCAAGCAGCGGTAGTGTGAGACCAGGATGAACACAACCCACACATCCATACCCATTACACGATGGGGTGCGATGCGATGCGACTACTGCTGTTCTCTAACTCGCCTGCGATTTTGGAGTCGACTCGGAAATTGTTGCGTACGATGCGATGAGATGCGATGCGATGCGATGGGATGCGATGCTGTGCGACTAATGCTGTTCCCGGACACTCCTGACGCAAAGAATAACGCGAATGGGGATCGCACGCTGGTACTAACAAGGATAATTCGCAAAGCCACAGTAGCGAGTTTGACTCGCACGCACACCACAAACTAACGTGGATGTCTCACATGCTACTAACGAGGATGCCCAGCATGCCTCCGATACGATAAGAGAGCGCCTCAGTGGAAGGTTGCATGGCTGCAGCACAGTCCATCGCCGCTTCTGACGCCGGTGCTGCCGCCGACGCTACAGCCTGGATCAAGCGGGGGGGAGAACGAGGACAAACGGGAGACAGCGAGGACAGAAGGCATACGGGGTTACATTGGCTCGGCGGAACGGGCAGGGCATGCTGAAGAGGCACGGAGGGGGGAAGAGGAGGGGAAGGATGAGGGATTGCAATCACGGAGCGTATGGCTGTGGGTTGTTTGGTAGAGCAATATGGAGTGCATGGCTGAGTTTGGAGACTAAAAATAAAAGCTTTCGCCGAGCGAGCGTTCCAGTGAAGTAAAGTCTCGCTTATCTTACATTTGAGTCGACTCAAAAGTCAACTCGTTCCAGTGAAGTAAAGTCTCGCTTATCTTACATTTGAGTCGACTCAAAAGTCAACTCGTTCCAGTGAAGCAAAGTCTCGCTTATCTTACATTTGAGTCGACTCAAAAGTCAACTCGTTCCAGTGAAGCAAAGTCTCGCTTATCTTACAACATGACTCGCCGCGCTTCTATAAGTCGCCTCAAAGAATGACTCGCCGCGATATTGAATATCTCACCCAAGTGACGGAGGAGGACCGATTGACTCAACCGTGAAATGACGCACGTTCCACTGTCCGCGTAAGGAAGGATGTCAGGATGAGGACCGGCGGACCGATGGGTCCAACAGGGAGAAGAAACCATTTATATCCCACAGACCACGCGGACGGGGTGAATCGAAACGATACGCTGCGAGGACGAGCTCACCATGGAAGCCATGGCTGACTTGGTGCCGATGTTCGAGCTGATTCACAAGCCTCGGGATTCCCGAGACGAATCTCAAGCCTCGCGCAGACGCACTGCCGACTTCGACTGGACGTTTCTTGACCGGTCACAGGAGACTCTCGCACGATTGATTGCGAATGGCGCGAATGCGGAAAATACCACCACCGTCGCAAAGCCGCCTCACAGCTCCAACGGTAAACGATCTGTACGGAAAAGCTTCGCAATAAAGCTTCGAGAGGAATCGCAGGCAGCGAGAAGCAAGGACGCAGCCTATGCGACACGTCGCACAACTAGAGCCGTCGCACGACGCGTCCACCCGCACGACATAGTGATGCTTCGCAGGAAACTTCTCGGTCGAAAGCTATTCCTGGTCAAAGAGGATCCTGGTAGACGCTAATCCTGGACACGCTTCAGGCCAGGCTCCAGATTCGTAGCAGCGGCTTGCCCTACCCAACCAGGGACACGAGTCGAACTCGTCAGTCACTCTGGAGAGGCGGGAATATGGCTGGTCAGAAAGCAAGGCGAGAGGAGATAAAATGCTTGGAGGAGAGCTTGAGAAATACTCCACACATTCTTGGAGATGGAGAGGAAGGGTTGTCCAGAAAAACGGAGACACCACACGATACATTGCGGTATGGTACGGTTATGAGTGGGTGCAGGTGTAGTGTTTGCGTGAGCTTCTGTGGCTAAGGAACCTCTGGCGGATGTGGCGCGGATAACTGGCTATGGGAGAAAGGGGGGTGCTACGGGCTGGCCTGAACGGGGAAAGCGGGGGGTAAGCACGCGGAGAAATGGGAAGGGGGAGGGGAGCACGCGGCGCATGCGGACGGACATGGATGTTGCCGAAAGGTCGTTGTAATGTGCGGCTGCCTTTGCGGGGGCGTTTTCTGGAGAGCGGAGCGGAAAGGGGGGGTTGGGGGAGTATGGTTGGACAAGGTTCGGCCGTAATCTTTGTTCAGTACAGTAACGCTCAAAGGTTTCTTCAGTTCAGTTCATGCACCTTTTCGCACCTTTCGTCTCTCGCTTTTTGCTAAGCATGGCACCGAGTGAAGGGAGAACTAATCTTGCTTTATCACAAGGAAAACCACGATCAGACTCGTTATACGCACCGTTCGTTGAAGTAATATGCGATGAGGAGTGCAAATGTACGGAGCAGCAACACGAGTAATAACGTCGTTAAACAGGCATGAGAAAATAAGAGTACACTCTCTATGCTTCCATGTGCTGGCGATCCAATCCCAAGGTTGAATCCACTCCACAACCACCCCACTCTTACAAGATGATGCCACTCCCACCCACGTCTCTGCTTTAGGGTTTCTGCTGGTCTCCATTGGCGTTCTGCAAGGTGTCTTTACATAATTAGCTGTTTCATATGGCAGTTTAGGCGGTAATTGTCCTCCTCTAGACCCGGACTCTGTCTTCTGTTAGCACCGTGCGATGCGCCGTCCGAGCCGATGGGAGAAGGCGGACGACGCGAGCGATCCGGACGTTAGCGACGCGGAAGGAAGCGGCGAAGGAGCCGCAGCGGAGAGACGACGGTGGCGGAAAAGCGACGAGGGGAAGCAACAGCACGAGGAGGGGAAGCAATCGCACGGTCGTAGCAGGCAAGGCCACACGGATTCGCATCATACATCCCGTCACCGTCACCACCACCACCACCACCATCGCCATAAGGACCGATCCAGGCACACGCGTCGCCGGCACAACGAATCGGACGACTACGAATCGCCGGGATCCGCGTCAGATTACGAAGCTTCTCGCGACAATGACGTGGCGGAAGGTCCTCCAACCGTCCCTTCTACAGCCGCTACAGCTGCTACAGCTACTTTCGCGACGCCAATAGGCGGCAGCGGGGCTGCCTCCTTTCCTTACCGAAAGGACCGACATTCCGCAAATAGGTCTTCCGGATCCGCGAAACGCGCGCATAGCAGGGAGGAGGAGGAGAATGGCGAGGGGTTGGATCGTCAGCGGCAGATCGAAGGAGAGAGGAGCCGCGACCGGGACGACGATAGGGAGTCTAAACGCCGGAGAAGGCACCGATTGGAGAAGGGGGATAGGGGAACCGGTAGTCCGGATAAGAGCCATGATGTCGGTGATAGAAATGATTTTCCGGATCGCAGTCGGCGAAAGAGTCCGGAGAGAGGTTTTGCGCGGTTGAAAGGGAAGGGAGGCGGTGACGGTCGGCGTGAGCTGTCGTTTCAGGCGGATCCCGCAGCAAAGGCGTCGCAGAAGGCGTCGCAGAAGACGTCGCAGGCGGCGGCTGTCGCACGGCCTGTCGCAGGGCAGGTGGGCGACGCGGGCGACGATGGCGACGACGATGCGCACTGGAACGCGCGGTTCGTGGACATCGATGCGATCGAGGTCGCCTTCGAGGCGCCACGGAGCCCGCTGTTCGAGGATCTCGAGGCGCCTGAAGACCTAGAGCGGTTCGGGGAAGGTGGGGTATTAACCACGGAGGCTTTAATAGGGACGTACGAGGACAAACAGGAGAAGCCGGGGGTTTCGCGGCGGGAGGAGCGGAGGGAGAAGGGGAGCAGAAAGGCGGCGGAAACGAGGAGTGAGGAGGAGGAGAAAGAAGGGAGGGAGAGAAGGGATGATCAGGAGGAAGTGGGACAGAGGGGGGGTGGTGGAGGGAACGATGTTGTTGTGAGTGTTAAAGAGAGGAGGCATGGAGTGGAAAGGAGTGGCCGGGTCGGAAGAGCAAGGCAGGGAGGCAAGGGGGTGGATGACGCCGGTGACGAGGAGTTGAATCCGGTGAGGAGAAGGGAGGAAACGGTGGAAGGGAGGGAAGGGAAGGGAGGAGATGAGGAGGAGGACGAGGAGGAGGAAGATGAGGAGGAAGTTGAGGGTGGGTCAGCATTGCATGGTAACCGGGAGAAGGGGAGGAACAGGGAGAGGGAGAGAAGGGGACGAGAGCGAGAGAGGGAGAGAGGAAGGGACAGGGAGCGTGACAGAGATGGGGAGAGGGACAGGGGGAAAGCACGGGAGGAAGGGGTAAGAGGAAAGGAGAGGAGGAGGAGGGATGCAGAAGAGGAATGGCAGGGTGACTATAGGCGTGGTGATTATGGCGGGGAAGGGGAGCGTAGGGAGTGGAGGCATGGGAAACGAGGAGGCAGACGAGCAGACTCGCCTGGGCTGTCGTCTTCGTCAGGTGTGCCCCCTATTTACCCACCACATGTTGATGTATCGTCATTCACCTGCATCTTGGAACATTCACATGAACCGTCACATGAATAATGTTGAGGATTCAATCTGCAACTTTATTCCCCTTCTCTCCTGGCTCACGCGTCGCCCGTCTTTCCCCTCTTCTTACCCTTCCCTCCCGTCTCACCTTTCCCTCATCCCCTTGTTTCCCAATTACCTTTCTCCCCTCAGAGCACGAGCAGCGGGACGTGGGGAAGGAGAGAGGCAAGGGGCAGAAGGGGCGTCAGCAGCGGCACAAGGAGGAAGACGAGGGTAGTCCTGTGTCAGGTCCCAGGAGCAGTGGAAAGGGTGTCAAGGCGGGCGGACGGGAAGGTAGGGCTTCGTTTATTAAGGACGGAGAGAAGTATGAAGGAGAGGAGAAGGGGAGAGGAGAAGGGAGGAGGTGGGGCAGGGATCGGAAGAGGGAGGATGAGGAAGAGGAGGGTGAGGAGGAGGGGAGGAAAGGCAAGGAGAGGGTTGGGAGGGGGAGGGAGAGGGGGAGAGAGAAGGTTGGGGATGGGAGGAAGGAGCGGAGGGATAGGGAGAATGGGGGAAAGAAGGGTGGTGTGGAGAACGAAATTGGGCTGGAAGCAGAAACGGAGAGGCTTAAAGAGAGTACAAATGCTCCTAGCGACTACGAGGGTGCCGACAGGGTGGTGAGGGAGGTGGAAGCAGGGGGGGGAAGGGTGGTGAAGGTATCAACTGAGAGAGCTAAGCTTGGGAAGGTGTTATCAGGGGAAGGTGAGACCGATGGAAGGTCTTCTAAGCCTGGTAGGATGAGAAGATTCGTGGAAAGGGCTCAAGGAAAAGGTGCAGGAGAAATGGAGGAGGAAGAGGAAGAAGGCGGGGAGGAGGAAGAAGAGGAAGAGGAGGAAGCAGCGAAGGAGGAAAGGGGAGCACTGGGAGAGGGACTGGCGATTCTGAATCAGAGTTACTCGAAGCAGAGACAGAGTGGGTTGTTGGGTGGTGGTGGTGGTGGTGGTGGTGGTGCTGCTGCTGCTGGTGCTGCTGCTGCTACTGCTACTGCTGCTGATAATAGTGGTGTTGCTACTGGTGGTGGTGGTGATGATACCATTGTATCTGCACAACTGACCGTAGCTGCTGCTGCTGCCAGCGTTACTGCCACCGCCGCTGCTACTGCTGCTGATGGCGGTGTTGCTGCTGTGACCGGTGATGCTGCTGCTGCAGACTCTACTGTGCTGGGGAGACGGGGTCTGAGGCTAGAGGGACCAGGCAGCAAGCGGGGGCAGGGTGGGGAGGGCGAGGGGAAGGTTGAGGCTCCCGTTGCTCGCGAGGCAAGGCAGGGACGCACGTTTGAGGCGCCTGCAAGAGAGAGCGAGGGGCGGGCACAGGCGGAGGCAGCGGGGAGGGAGGGGGCGACGGGAGGCGAAAGGGATGAGGCGAAAGAGGGGCTGAAACTAGTGGGGGCAGGGAAGGGTGGTGGTGGTGGTGCTGCTGCTGCTGCTTGTACAGCTGCTGCCGCTGCTGCTGGTGCTGCTGGTGACGCTGGTTTTGTGGGTTCAAAGCTGCTTATAAAGGGAAGGGAAAGGGCAGAGGTGGGTGATGGAAGCGGAAAGAGGGGGACAGCGAGCGCGAAGGGAGGAAAGGGAGAAGAGGGCGAGAAGGGGGAGAAGGGGGAGAAGGGTGAGAAGGGGGAAAGGGAGGGGTCGATTGGAGAAGGAGGGCTTTGGCAGCAGCAGTTGAAGAATGAGAAAGGAGGGGAGAGAGGGGCAAGAGGTCGTAGGAGAGAGAGAGAGGAGAGAGGGAGAAGAGAGGGAGGTGAAGGGCTGGAAGGGGAAGAGGGTGAGGAGGAGTGGGGAGCGGATGGGCGGGAGGGTGGGGGGAAATGGGACAAAGAGGCAGAGGAGGATGAGGAGCAATGGAAGAGGAAGCGGAGGAGGAGGAGGAGGAGAGAGGGTTTTGGGGAGGATGAGGGAGAGAGGAGAACGAGGAAAGGAGTAGGTATTGGGGAGGAGGAGGATGAAGAGGAGAGGGGGGAAGAGGGGAGAGAAACGGATGAAGAGGGGGGGGAAAGGGAGGGAGAAGGGGAGGACGAAGGGTATGGGCGTGGGGGGAGGGGGCATGGGGGGAGGGGGGGAAGGAGGGTTGAAAGGCAGGAGAGCGGTCGAACTTTTGGTGCTGGAAGAAAGGCGGAGAGAGGGGAAAGAGGGGAGAGGGGGGAGAGGGTGGAGAGGGGAGAGAGAGGGGAAAGGGTGGAAGGAGTGGAGAGGGGGGGAAGAGGGGAGAGGATGGAAAGGGGGGGAAGAGGCGAGAGGGGCGAGAGGGGTGACAGAGGGGAGAGAGGGGAGAGAGGGGAAAGGGAGGCCAGATGGTGGTCGGGTCGGGAGGGACGATTGCGAAGGGATGGGGAGAGGGAGAGGGAGAGAGAGTGGGAGAGGGATCGTGATTGGGACCGGGAGCGAGAGTGGGAGAGGGAGAGGGAGGGTGAGTGGGGAAGGCGGGAGTGGGAGAGGAGGGAGAGGGAGAGAGGAGAGAGGGACAGGGATAGGGAGAGGGAAAGAGAGTGGGAAGGGGGAAGGGAGGGAGAGAGAGGGGGGATGTATCAGGATGAGTATGGAGGGGAGAGAATGGGGAGGGCGAAAAGAGAGGGGTCAGTCATGGGTTCTAGTGTGGCAGGGGAGGGTGCAGTGGTAGACGAGGCTAGGAGGGGCAGGGAGCGAGAACGGGAGAGGGAGAGGGGGCGAGATCGGGACAGGGAGAGTCAGATGGAAGGGGAGAAAGGAGGCTTTGATGGGGACAGGGGGATGGGTGAGGGGCGGAGAGGAGTGGGAGCGGGAGGAGGGGGAGGAGCAGGGGGAGCAGGGGTGGCAGGGGGAGGGGAAGGAGGGGGGGGAGGAGGGGAAGGAGGAGGAGGGGGAGGGGAGTGGCAAGGGCGGTCTGATATGGCTCCTGGGCTAAGGAGAGGACGAGAAGGGGGAGGAGGAGGAGGAGGAGGAGGAGGAGGACGGGAAGGGGGAGGAGGAGGAGTGGGACGAGAAGGGGGAGGAGGAGGAGGGGGAGGCGGGGCTGACGCGTCCACCGACCCTTCCCTCCCCCCTCCCCCGCCCCTCCGCCCTGGTATAGACGCACCCTCTGTTCTCCCTGCTCCGCCGAACCTACCCGCAGGTACGGAATGCCTGCTTGCCCCTGGCAGGTCCGGCAACGTCGCAGCAGCAGCAGCAGCGGCGGCGGCAGCAGCAGCAGCAGGGGGGATGGCTGGGCCTGGGGGACCAGGGGGAATGGGGGGAATGGGGCCTGGGGGCGCGGGGAGGAGGGGAATGGGCGGACCAAGAGTCATGGGGCGGGGGGAAGGAGGGGGCAGCGGGATGCTGCGCCCTGGGGAAGCATGGAGGGGCGGAGGGGGAGGGCCACAGGGATTTCTGCCCGGATGGGGGGGAATGGCGGGCCCTAGGGGGCAACCGGGCCCAGGAGGCGGAGCAGGGGCGGGAGGGGGCGGGGGAATGGGGGGAGCAGGGGGAGGGGGAGCGGGAGGGGCAGGGGGAGCGGGAGGGCAGGGTCTTGTGGGGCCAGGAGGTCAGCCTTCCCCAGGTATGCCTCCCCCAGGCGGCTTCCCCCCTTTTCATGGGTTCCCAGGTCCGGGAATGCCTTTTCCTGGGGGGCTGGGTTCAGGGGCGGGGGTTCCGCCCTTCCCTGGGGGCGGGGGGATGATGGGCGCGCCCTTCCCCCCGCACCTGGGGGCTGGGGGACCCAGGGGCGCGGGCGGAGGGGGGTCCCCAGGGGCAGGTGCGCACATGCGCGAATTAGGGTTTGGGCGAGTGGGGCCTGGGCCGGGGTTCAAACCAGGGGCGGGGGGAGGCGTGGGGGGAGGGGGGGGGGGAGGCATGGGGAAGGGGCCGGGGGATGGAATAGCAGCAGGTGGGGGGAAGGGGAGGGGAAGGGGAGGCGGAAGATGGGGGGATATGGAGGGAGGGGGAGGAGAGGGGATTATCAGCTGGGATGCAGGCTTGGGGGGGCAGGGGAGAGGGGGAGGGGGCATGGGAGGCGCAGGGGGCGGGGGCCCTGGGGGAGGGGGGACTGGGGGAGGGGGAACTGGGGAGAGTGGCAGTGCCGTGGGGGGAGGAGCAGAGTCCGGAGGAGCAGGGAGCGGGGCTGGAGGTGGGGGAGGGAAAGAGGGAGAAGCAGGGAAGGGGGAAAGTGGGGCAGGAGGAGCAGGAGCAGGGGGGGCAGGGGGAGGAGATGGGGGTAGCGCAGGTGGAGGGGGGGGGGCTGGATCAGCTGGGGCAGGGCAAGGCGTGGCAGGGAGGGGAGGAGGGGGAATTTCAGGGGGTATTTCCCCTGGTGGAGGTATGGTAGGGGCAGGGGCGGGGCCTTGGGATGGGACGGGGAGGGGGAAGGGGATGGGGGGAATGGGGGGAATGGGACCGGAGGGCATGGGCAGGGGTGGGGGGATGGGGCCGGGAATGCCATTTGGGATGGGGGGAATGGGCATGGGAATGGGAGGCTTGGGCATGGGCATGGGTGGGGGTATGGGGATGGGCATGGGCATGGGCATGGGGATGGGTATGGGAATGGGTATGGGCATGCATATGGGCATGGGAATGCACATGGGGGGAGGCATGGGGGTTGGTGGGGGCCCGGGCATTGGGGCAATGGGAGGAATGGGGGGAAATATGACCCCCCACCAGCACCAGCAGCAGCAGCAGCAGCAGCAGCAGCAGAACCAGCAACTGCAACAGAAGAGGCAGGAAAAGGATTCGGATGGAAAGGGCAAGGAGGGGGAGGACGGGAAAGAGGAATCGAAGCAGGAGGGGGAGGAAGGGGGCAAGGGGGAAGCGAAGCGGGGAGTGGGTAAGGGTGATGAAGGGGTGAAAGGGGCAGTGGTTGATAAAGCAGTGAAAGAGGAGGGTGCGGAGGAGAGGGAGGGGCAGGAGGTGAAGGAAGAGGAGGAGGAGGAGGAGGAGAGACAGAGCGTTGACTCGGAGCAACGGCAGAAAGAGCAAAAGCAGCAGCAACAGCAGCCGGAACAGCCGTCTCACTCCCCCGCTTCTCTTCCACCTTCTGCCATCCCTCACAAGCAACCGCCACATCAGCAGGTGCCACATCAGCCACCGCAGACGCCGCATCAGCAGCAGCCGCCTGCGAACCAGGGCAGAAACCGTTGGTCACACCCTGGAAATTTACCTGGAGGGCCTGGGGGGCACCTGAACACGCCCCCCCTGGGTCCCCTCTCTCCTGGCCTCCTCCCAGGTGCTCCAGGTGCTGGCCCAGGCCCAGGCTCAGGCTCAGGTGTTCCTTCAGGTGTTTCTGTTGGAGGGCCAGGTGTGCTGCCACACCACCACCCCATGCCTGGGCCAGGCATGGGCGGTAGGTTCGGCGCCCACCCGGGCATGCCCGGACTTGGAGGTAGAGGTCCGGGAGGCGGCATGGGAGGGCGGGGACCGATCTTTCCTCCTGGGGGCATGTGGGATGGAATGCCAGGTTCGGGATCCCCGTTCCTGGGAGGTCCGGGAGGCTGGATGGGAGGTCCGGGAGGCATGGGAGGCCCAGGAGTAAGAGGCCCGGGCGGCCCTGGGTTTGGGCCGAACCTGATGGGTCCGGGAGGAGGGGGAGGCATGCCTGGGGGAGGAAGGGGCCTCAGAGATATGGGAGGGGTGGGGCAATTTGGAGGGCCTAGGGATATTCATAGAGTAGGTTCGGGAGAGAGGCATGGGGAGGGGAGGGGCAGAGGAGAGTTTTTGCGGGATGGGGAGGGTCGGAGAGGGGGTGTTGGTGGTGGTGGGAGGGGGATTTTAGGGGGGATGGGTGTGGGTGGAAGGCGGGAAGGGGAGAGGGAGGAGAGAGAGAGGATGGGTGGTGGGGTTGGGGCTGGGAGAATGGGAGAGGATGGTGGGTTGGGAAGGGGAGGTGGAGGGAAGGAGGAGGGAGGGGCAGGAGGGAAGGAGGGAGAAACTCCGGAGGAGAAAGAGATAGTGACAGGGAGGAAGGTGGAGGTGAGAGCGGTAGCGAGGCTTCTGGGTTCTCTACCTCTTGCTGCTGGTCTGGTGAATGGGGAACTTTTAGCTAAGTGTTTGCATGCAGCGGCGATGGGGAAGGGAGAAGAGGGGGAAGTGGTAACAGGTGCGGGAGGAGGAGCGGGAGCAGAAGGGGCAGGGGTAGCAGGGGGAGCAGGGGGGCCAGGGACAGCAAGGGGAGCAGGAGCAGCAGGGGCAGGGGCAATGGGGGGCCCTGCAGGAACGGCACCTTTCCTGGTTTCGTCTGCTGCTGCTGGTGCTGCTGGTGCTGCTGGTGCTGCTGGTGCTGCTGGTTCTGCTGGTGCTGCTGGTGCTATGGCTGGTGGCGTTGGTGTTGGTGCTGCTGGTGCAACTGGTGCTGGTGCAGTTGCGCGTTTGCTGCCCTCTGCTGCTGCCGTACCATCCTCTGCTGCAGCAGCCGCTGCTGGGCTGTCTGGGCGTACTGTAGCAGCAGAGGCGGATGGAGTGGCAGCAAGGCCAGGGGCAGAGGCCGCGATGTCCCACCTGCCTGCTGTTGATGCAAATGCTGCCAGAGCGGTTCAGGTGAGTCTGCGTTTTTGACAAGTCAGGGCGTGTAAGCAAGGGCTGTTTCAGAGGCGGGTGGGGGGCGGCAGTAAGGGCAGGGGCAGAGGAGTAAACACAGTCACAAAGCTCTCATGAGTCTATGACTGTGTACTCGTAGAAGATTCGTGTTTGCCATGGGTCACCAGAGGGAGTGAGTGATGCGGGATCATCCTTTTTAGGTGGAACAAGTAGCAAGTAGCTCAACTCACGCAGAACACAGGCACCTACTGCGCACAGAACGCAGAACACAGACACACATGCACAGCTGCTGACGTGAGTCCTCTCTCCTTCCCCCTGTTTCCGCTTCCCTTCTCCACCCCTCTTTTTTCCCCACCCACTTCCCCCAACATCCCTCCCACCCCTTCCCCTCCCCTCTATTCTATGTGTGTATATCCTTTCCCGCCTCTCCTCGTCACCCTTGCCTGACCCTTCTCCGTTATTGCCTCCCTTCCCTCTCTCCAACCCCCACCCCACCCCCCTTCCCTCTGCCAACCCCCCCTCCGCCTCCGCCCATGCCAACCCCGTCCTCGTCCCCTTGTCAACGCCGTTTGTGATAAGTCGACTCAAAAATCGACTTATCACACCATGCCAACCCATCCTCGTCCCCTTCTCAACGCCTGCAGGCATGTCTGTCTCGTCTTAGACTCCCTCCTGCCACTCACCCTTCCCCTCCACATCCATGCTAACCTCTCAATCGACTCAACCATCATCCCCTCCCCTTCCTGTCCCCTTCCCCGTCCCAACCCTGTCCCGTTCCCCTTCTCAACGCCTGCAGGCATGTCTGTCTCGTATTGGGCTCGCACCAGCCACTCACCCATCCCCTCCACATTCGTCCAACATCGCAGCTTCCTCCTCCTCACTCTTTTTCTCCCTCCCCCCTTCCCTACTCTTCTCATCTCTACCCCCTTCGAACAAGCCACCATCCATCCCCCATACAAGCTACTCCGTCACTGCCAAATTCCTTCACGTTAGTGAAGTTTTGGCGGCATCAAACATGTCACTTCCTGCTTATCTCTCTTCGCCACCAGTTGTGGAGTTTAACAAAGCGTCTGCCGGTGCACTTAGCAAAGTGCCAGCCTGGCAGCCCCACACCGTACCACCGTCGCAGCAGGTTCGGAAGGCGTCCAAGCCTAAGCAGCAGGCTCAAGGCCGCCGTGCAAAGCCGAGGAAAGGGAAGAGAGGAGGGGGGGAAGGAGGAGCGGAAGGGGGAGGAGAGGTTGGGAAGGTTCTCGAGTCGACTCGAAAAGAGGTGGGAAAGGTGAAGAGACAAAGGGTGGGGTCTGAGGGGGAGAAGTTGGACGAGAAGGGCACAATGAAGCTGCAAGATAGGATGATGAAGCAAGGGGAGGGGGGAGATTTGAATGCTCTGCAGCAAGGCGATAGTGGTAGTGGCGGGGGTGAGGAGAACGGTGCTGGTGTTGTTGGTGCTGATGGCGGTGGGGGTGGGGGTGGCGGGAAGGAAGGACTAGGAGGTATAAGCGGGAAGGGAGCAGGGAATGTGGGTGGAAATGGTGCAGGAAGTAGAGGAGTAGTGCTGCGGAGAGGGTTGGTGATTCGGCTCCCGAGAATGACATTCTCTGCTTTTCCTCCCAGACACAGTGCCGTCAGTTCTGCTGCTGCTGCTGCTGCTGCTCCTGCTGCTCCTGCTTCTGTTTCAGGTGCCCCTGCTCCTATGGCTGCTGCTGCTGCTGCTGCTACAGTTTCTGCTGACAACGGTACTGTTGGTGTTAAGTCTGGTGGCAATGCGGCTTCTGCGGGTGGTAGTGATGGTGCAGGTGGCGGTGGTGCTGTTGCTGCTGGTAGTGCTCCTGTTTCTGGTGCTAGAGCTAGGACCAGAGGCAGAAAGCAGCAGCAGCAGCAGCAGCAGCAGCAGCAGCAGCAGCAGCAGCAGCAGCAGCAGCAGCAGCAGCAGCAGCAGCAGCAGCAGCAGCAGCAACGGAGTGTTGAGGCTCCTAAGCAGGCAAGAGGCAGGGGTGCTGCAAGCACAAAGCAGCAACATCGGGGTCGACAGCAGCAGCACAAGGAAGAGCGAGCAGAGGAAGAGCAGGCGCAGCAGCAGGAGCAGGAGGCGAATGCGGAGGAACAGGAGCAGCAGGAGCAAGAGCAGCAGAAAGAGGAGGAGGAGGTGCAGGAGGTAAAGACGGAAGTGCTACAGACGGGTCTTGCTGCCCTGTTTGCACCTTCTGCTTTTGCTGCCAAAGCCACCAAGCTTGTCAGCAGCCCTGCTACTGCTGCTCCTTCTGCAGGCACTAAAGCTGCTGCTGCTAAAACTGCTTCTGCTAAGGCTGCTACTGGCAAGGCTGCTGCTGCTAAGGCTGTTGCTGCTAAAACTGCTGCTGCAAAGTCAACTACACTGAAAGCTGCTGCTGCAGCTAAAGGCAAAAAACAGGTTTCTGCTTTCGCTGCTGCTGCTGCTACTGCTGTTGAGGAATCCAAGCCGCCCAGCTTGCCTGTTGAATCTTCAGACGATGGTGAGGAGACAGGTGACGATGGTAAGGTGACGGGTGGCGATGCAAAGAAGGCAGATGGTGATGCTAAAACGACCGGAGGAGGTGGGAGGCAGGCAGGTGAGGGGGACGGGGAGGAGGTCGGGAAGGGGGCTGACCATGCTGTGGCGGTGGGCGGTATGTTGGCTTCCAGGAAACGCAAGGCAGGTGCTCGTGCTGCTGGTGGTGCTGGTGGTGATGATGGTGCTGGTAGTGACGATGCTGCTGCTGCTGCTGCTGCTGCCTCTTTTGCTGCTGCTGCTGCTTCTGTTGCTGATGGTGCTGCTGCTGGTAAGAAAGCTGGTGGTGGAGGGGGAGGAGGAGGAGTGAAGGTGGAGGGGGGGAAGTGTGGAGAGAAGGGAGAGGTGGGGGAGGGTGGAGAGAAGGGAGAACCGGGAGCAAAGCGGGATGGTGGGGAGGAGGGAGATAAGGGGAAGGGTGAGAGGGGGGATGATGACACAGCAGAGAAGAGCATTGGGGAGGAGGAGAAGGAGGAGAGAGGAGAGAGGAAGGACGGGGGGGAAGGGAGGGAGGGAAAACGCAGCGGGGATGAAATGGAGGTGGAGTATACGACTGGAGGGGGGAGCGGAGATGAAGGGGGAGAGCAAGGGGGAGAGAAAAGGGGAGAGAATGGAGAAGAGAAAGTGGGAAAGAAAGATGTGGAGAAAGGGGGAGTGGAGATTCAAATGGAAGAGTTAGGAAATGATGTGGTGGAGGTGGGAGTTGTGAGAACATCAGGTGAGGGAGCAGTAGGTGAGGGAGCAATGGGTAAGACAGGAGGAGGCAAGGGGGAGGGGATGGATGCGGTTGTTGAAGTGACTGAGGGGGGTGAAGAGGTGGGGAGAGTGGGAGGTGGTGAGAGAGGAACCAATGAGGAGCAGATTGGTGCAGCTGAAGTGACTGCTTCTGAAATGGATGTGACTGAAAGGGGTGTGATCATGGCGAGTGTAACTCAGGGCAATGGGACGTCTCAGGAAGTTTCCAAGGAACCTGCAGAAGGGCCCTCGCAGGAGGTTTCAGAGGCGGGCGAAGGGGCAGGTGAAGGGGCAGAAGCACGGGCAGGCGAAGGGACAGGTGAAGGAACAGCGGACGAATCAGAACTGTCGCAGGCGTCCGCAGGCGCAAGGGGGGCAGGTAAAGCACGTAGCAGGGCGAGGGCACCCAGAGGCAAGGGCACAGGTGGGAAGAAAGGGAGGAAAGGTGCTACTGGGGGAGGTAGAACTGCCCGGACAAGTGGGGGGACTGCTGCTGTCACCTCAGCCGCACCTGAAGGGATGTTGGGGGAAGGAGGAGAAGGAGATGGGGGAGGGGGAGGAGGAGGAGTGGCGGAGAATGGGAGTGTGGAAGGTGAGGAGGGGAAGGAGGATGAGGAAGTGAGGAGGGAGCGGGAGGAGAGGGAGAGGAGGGAGAAGGAGGCGGAGAGAGAGAGGATGAAGGCACTGAAAGAGCAGGAGGCGAGGGACAGGGAGGAGGCGATTAGGTTGGCAACGGTGCGGCAGAGCAGCAGAATCAGGTCGAGGCAGACGGGGGCGAGCAAGTAGGAAGGGGGAGTTTGGAGCAGCAAATATGGTTGAGATCGACCGGGGGAAGTTGGAAGGGACTCAAACGGTCATCACGAGCTGCTGAATCAGATACAGGCAGACGGGGGGAAGCGAATAGGTGGGTTACTTTGGATGGGAGATGGACAAGGGGTGGACCGTGAGCCATCACAAGCTGGCCATTCTGAGGGGTTCCGGAATGGGTAGGAACCTAAACTGGCAGCTGCAATCAGGAAGTTGAAAAAGTCTGGAGTGGAGGGAAGTAGCAGCAGGGCGGCGTTTTGGGACAGTGAAAGGAGAGCGGGCGTAACAGGAAAGTATGCCAGGTGATTCGGAGGCGGATGGATGGCGTGATGGGAGGAAGTGAAGCGTGGAGATGTGTATTGCGGAGGTGCAAGTAATTGTTGTGTGGAGACGCAACGAAAGTGTTGTGTGGAGATGCATGGGAGTATTATGCGGTGGTGGGAGGTTCGGTACGGTAGGCGTGTGTTGAGATGAGATGCGCAAGGAAGAGCTTCGGACGACTCTCCTGTTGTTTGCTAGTGCGCTGTTGTTCCTCTCTTGCCGTTTGTTGCATTTGTCGTGCTGTTTTTGTCCCATCCCGCACATCCGTCTCGCTTTTTGTTTCAATGGGTCGTCTCTCTCTTGGCGTTGGACTTGTTCTTTTTGGTTTAGAACTTTATGTTTCTGTGAATTAGAACATTAATTTGTTTTTTTCTCTCCTCCTGTTGAGGCGCACGTGTTAAGTTGATGAAGTGGTGATTGTCAACGCAAGAGGAAAATCCACCCCACTCCAACCTAATCTAACAGAAATACTAGTGTACTAGGCTCTGAAAGCTGCTTATAAATTAAGGGTCCGTGTAAGGAAAATCCCTTTTCCTTACTTCGCATCTCTGCTCAACGCGTACATCACTGTAGCACCACAGTCAGCACCGTTACCACTCGCAATCCTCGCATCGACAATCCGCCCGCCGTCTTCGCACGTCGCACCCCAACCTCACGGCTCGGCGAGTAACCCGCGCTCCGGGCCTCCGCTTCGACACTTTTCCCAACCTCAGTCCCAGGCCCGTCACGCGACAACCACAGTCCATTACCGTTACCACTGTAGTTTCGCTATATATTCTTCGTTCATGCCTTCGCTCATTGTACTCTTGCTTCGATAGTGCAATTCTCGTTCGTTCACTCAATTGCACTCGTAACACTTGGTATTCAGAGCCTACGACCTCTTCTCGGACCGCACCCACACCTTCGCTTCCCCACTATCTCAATTTTTTGGGGGGGGGGTAGACGTCCCTCAGCGACACAGCACCGCCGCTCGTAGTGCTCTCTCGTAAGCACGCACGGCCACGACTGAGGCTCTCGCTGAGCTCGCCCGACACCCCCGCCATGGCCGAATTCACGCTCGCCACATTGACGCAGGAGCAGCTCGACCGTCTGGTGCGCCAACTCGAAGATTCGGCGCTCGAAATTGCGATGCTCACAGCGGAACGTGACTCCGCGCGTCAGCAATCAACGGTGAACACTCCAGCAGCACCACACGCACCAACAAATGCATCTGCACAGTCAGACGAGCCGATCGTCATCTCGTCCGGCACACCAACACAAAACAACAGCGTGGGACAGCGCTCAGGCGCAGCCAGCGATGGCGCCGCCCAGCCGATGCCTGGCATGGGAGGAAACAGGGTCGCACCAAGCCCGCGGGAGCCTCGCGAAGCCCGTCGGCACGTGGAGTTCGCGGCGACAAGTGGCGAACAGGCCATCATGGCACCAATGCCACTCAAGCCGCAACGCCCGCCCTGTTTCGACCCGAGCCAGCGTGGAGGTCCGACGGTTCAATCGTGGGTTTTCACGATGAACGTCTTCTTCGACGCGAATTACGTCGAGTCGGACGCAGCGAAGATTCGATATGCACTTTCGCTGCTAAGGTGCCCCGCCATGGACTGGTGGCGAGTCATCGTGACGTCGCCACGCGCCTACGAGCCACCGTCGCAAGAGGAAGGGCCCACGGGTCCAGCTGTCACCTGGAGTTCATTCTGCGAGACCGCCCAATACAGCACGTGGGATGCGTGGTGCGCAGGGCTTCGGGCGCGCTTCGAGCCGATCGCGGCTTCTATTTCGGCGCGTCAGAGATTGCGCACTTGGCGGCAGCTCGGGTCGGTTCAAGATTACACGAGCGGTTTTCTCGTACTTTGTGAGCAGGTCGGCTACATGCACGAAGCGGAGCGGGTGGACCGTTACGTCGGAGGGCTGAAGCCGGATATCTCGCACGAAATCATGCTGCGCGGACTCTCAAACTTCAACGAGATTCTTGCGCTCGCCGAGAAAATCGACATTCTACGCCGACCGAGACCGGGGTCCTACTACGGACATCGTCCTCGGGGACCGATCGAGCACGCCACTATAAACGCTGTTGCAACGAATGCAGCTGCCGCACCGTTTAAGGGGCGCTGCTTTGCTTGCAACAGGCCGGGCCATCGTAAGAGCGAATGCCCAGAGGAGCTAAGACGCCGCGGAGCAGAGCAGGGGAGGGAGTCTCAGAGGCAGGGAGACGCCAGCAGTCAGTAGAAGTTGGGCCAACTACTGACGAAACTGCCTGCTCGCCCAACCGCACCGACCCTCACCGAGTCACAGTACCGATTCACGCCATCGATCGGGCTCGGATGAATAAGGAGGGTACAACGACGGATTGCCCAGTAATGATCCACGGGAAAATACAGGGAGCAGCGGTGAAGATTTTTATCGACGGAGGAGCGAGCCACAGTTTAGTTAATACCGCAACCGCACGAAAACTACAACTGACGCTTAGTCGCTGCTTACCCGAGATTGACGCACGCTTAGTTGACGGCACGCCGCTGGCCATACGGGAGAAGGTGGAGAGAGTAAAAGTTCGCTGCGGAGGAAACTTCGGGTTTACACAGGAAATGCTCGCGACGACATTGGATGGGCATGATGTTTTACTGGGACATGATTGGCTGCGACGATATAACCCGCGAATTGACTGGACGACGGGTAGCTGCACCGTGCGAAGTAGTGGTAACTGGGTCGAGCTACCTCGCTGGCAGTCGCCCGAGTCTTCAACGGTCCACGTCAACGCCATCACGATGAAACGGGTTGTCGCCGCTGGAGCTGACGTGTACGCAGTAGATATAGCATTAGTAGGAGAAGCGGAGCAGCCGAGCGATTTTCAGAAACTGTTGGCAGCAGTACCGCCCGAACTACAGGAACTGTTGAAACGGTACCCGGGGATTTTTCCAGACGACTTACCGGAAGGGCTGCCACCTCAGCGGGCGCATGATCATAGGATCGAGTTAGAACCGGGGGCACAGCCAACTGTACAGCGCCAGTTCAGACTGACACAGCCCGAGCTCGACGAACTGAGGAAGCAGTTAGATTATTTGTTAGAGAAGCAGTTTATTCGACCAAGTTCGTCACCGTTCGCCGCACCGATACTGTTCACACCGAAAAAGAGACGGAGGGTTCCGCATGTGCATCGATTACCGAGCGCTCAACAGGGTAAAAGTCAAGTCGCGGTACCCCATTCCCCGCGCCGACGAACTGATCGACCAACTGCGAACAGCACGGGTGTTTTCGAAAATAGACTTACGGGGGGGTTACCATCACATTCGGGTCGAACCATCGGACTGCGCCAAGACAGCATTTAGGACTAGGTACGGGTCGTTTGAGTACACGGTGATGCCTTTCGGGCTGACCAACGCGCCCGAAACATTTCAGATGACCATGAACGAGGCGTTTAGGCCACTCTTAGATAAATGCGTGATAGTTTACCTCGACGACATCCTCGTTTACAGTCGCGACAAGCAGCAGCATTTAGCGGATCTCGAAACAGTATTTAAAGTTTTAGAGGAACATCGATTACTCACCAAGAGCTCTAAGTGCGAGTTTTTTCGGGACAAACTAGAATTTTTGGGGCACGTTATTTCGGCGGCTGGAGTTGAAATCGACCCAAAGAAGCTGGATACGGTAAAAGCGTGGCGTCCCCCGACGAACATCACGGAACTGCAGAGTTTTTTAGGGTTCGTTAATTATGTTCGTCGGTTCGTCCCCGACATGGCACGGTTAACTGCCCCACTGACGGACTTACTGCGGAAGGGGGTCGCTTTTACGTGGGGGGAGAAAGAGCATGCTGCCTTCTCTGCCCTGAAAAATGTTCTCTGTTCCCCGCCCGTCCTGCGCATCGCCGACCCACACCGCCCATTCGAAGTAGTTACCGACGCAAGCGATATCGCCATCGGAGCCGTACTGCTACAGGACTTCGGCAACGGCCTACAGCCCATCGCATACGAGTCACGAAAACTGCATCCGCCCGAGCGAAATTACCCGATACACGACCGCGAAATGCTCGCGATCGTGCATGCGTTCAAAGTGTGGCGCTGCTACTTGACCGGCGCAGACGTGACAGTACGGACAGACCATAAATCACTACAGTACCTTCGCGCACAGCCACACCTCAACCCACGACAGATTCGCTGGCTCGATTTCCTCGAGTCCAACTTTCACTATACGGTCACTTACAAAAAGGGAGCCTCGAACATCGCCGACGCACTGACCCGCCCCACTGCCCAGATCCACGCGATACTACTCGCCCAGACCAGCCCGCTACTGACAGGACTATTTACCCACGGATATCAAACAGACCCATTCTTCACAGGAGGCAATTCGCATCAGTTCGCAGCAGCCAAGGGAGTCTATTACGTAAAAGTCGGGACCGACCGCATCTGGGTACCAGGGTACACACTGCTACGGGAATTACTATTACAGGAGGCACACGACGGGGTTACCTCGGGACATTTCGGGGTAGAGAAAACACGGCAGCAGCTGCAGCGGTATTATTACTGGCCCGAAATGTTGACCGACGTGCAGCGACACGTGGCATCGTGTCCCACTTGCCAGATCATGAAGTCAACACGGAAGCGGCCGGCGGGACAGTTGCAGCCAATCCCACCTCCAGAACGTCATTGGCAGCAGGTGACGATGGACTTCGTCACGGGGTTACCGGCCGGGGCAAGTGGAAATGACGCGATCCTGGTCGTCGTCGATCGACTGACGAAAATGGCACACTTCGCAGCCTGCAAAAAAACAATCACAGCCGAAGAAACAGCCCGCCTCTTCATCTCTACCGTCGTTCGACTGCACGGGATACCAGCATCAATCATCAGCGACAGAGACACGAAATTCACCAGCAACTTCTGGCGGAACCTGTGGCAGCAGTTCGGCACGCGACTACAGTTTAGTTCATCGTACCACCCCGAAACAGACAGACAGACAGAACGGACAAATCAGACCATGGAACAGCTCATCCGGGCCACGTGCGACGACCCAAACACGTGGGAACAGCAACTGCCACTCATCGAATTCCCATACAACAACGCCCCATCCTCCACGACCCAACAGTCACCGTTTTACCTGAATTACGGACAAGACCCAACAGTACCCATGACCCGACTAAACCCGAATCCCGACAACCCGGTTCCACGCGCGCAACAGTTCGCGGAAATTTTGCAAGCAGCACGGACCAGGGCAGCAGACGCAATTAAAAAAGCCAACATCATCGCTAAACGCAACGCCGACCGCCACCGCAGACCTGTCACTTACCAGCCCGACGACTTAGTTTTGCTCGACACCCAAAATCTCCGACTGCCCATCACCCCGAAACTCCGCCCCCGATACTGCGGGCCATTTCGAATAAGCCACATGCTTACACCTGTCACCGCCCACCTCCTCCTCCCTGCTGACTGGTACGTCAGCCCCTCGTTCCACGTCAGCCTGCTTCACCCTTACGTCCCGTCCACGAGCCAACTGCCACGCAATCGCCCAGCCAGCATGACACGACCACCGACTGAACCAATCATCACCCCCGAGAAAATCCTGAGTCACAGAGTTCGCGACCCTCGAGGAGCCCGAAGGATCGAGTTCTTACTCCACTGGAAGGACCGTACACCCACCGAAGACAATTGGGTTCCCCTAGACAGAATCGAAAACCACCCCGTCCTCACCGAGTGTCTACGCAGCCGAAATTTCAGGGATGTACACGCACTCTCGTAAGGAGGACCTCCTTAGGGGGGAGGGTAGCGTAAGGAAAATCCCTTTTCCTTACTTCGCATCTCTGCTCAACGCGTACATCACTGTAGCACCACAGTCAGCACCGTTACCACTCGCAATCCTCGCATCGACAATCCGCCCGCCATCTTCGCACATCGCACCCCGACCTCACGGCTCGGCGAGTAACCCGCGCTCCGGGCCTCCGCTTCGACACTTTTCCCAACCTCAGTCCCAGGCCCGTCACGCGACAACCACAGTCCATTACCGTTACCACTGTAGTTTCGCTATATATTCTTCGCTCATGCCTTCGCTCATTGTACTCCTGCTTCGATAGTGCAATTCTCGTTCGTTCACTCAATTGCACTCGTAACAGTCCGTCGCACTGTTTAGAGCAGGATGTGGGCGTGTAGTTGTGTTACACTGAGCCGATATTATCGCATCCTAATATTTCTTTTCTGTGGAGCTACCCGTTCGATTGACAATCCCAAGGCTTATCCCGAAAACAGTGCGTTCTCTCTGAGCTGACCCTCCCTCCCAACCCAACCTCCACGTCTTGTCAATGGTATAAAGCTTGAAAAGCCAAGCATAAACATAACTACTTGCGTAAGCAGCACGTGAAGTGTGGAGCTGAGCACTGAAGTTACGTGCTTCGCTTGCGCTGCGGCTGGAGCGAGGAGCACCGTGGATGTGTCTTCCTCTAGCCGATTTGTCTTGCGGCTAGTGCGGCCTGCGCAACCGCCTATCGAGTGCTGGCCCGCAAAACGTTTTTTCTCTACATAGCCTGGCCGAGAGCGAATTTAGGTCAACTGTCTTCGTGCCAATCGGAAGAAGAACGGCAGTGCGATTAGAAGCTGGTTTGCTGAGCTCCTCGCTGATTAGGCCGAGATAAACGTATCGTGGCGTCAAGTGGGCCGCTTTTGGATATTTAGGGTTGGGTTGCCGGGGAGCGAGTCGGGTTACTGTAGTCTGGGGTAGAGGCCTCTGCTCAGGTTAAGCTAGGCTTACGCCAGCTTCGGTCGATTAAATTTAGGTACTTTCGGGATTGATTCAGCTTGACCTAGCGTCAATATTTTGGATGCGAGTAGAGCAGTGACGGGCTCAGCCCAGGCTTGAGTCGAGCAGTCGCGGCTGCAGCGTACGCGAAAGCAGCAGTTGCGAGTTTGGCAGGCGTAACTAGGTCGCATCGAGAAAGCCGCGCGTAGGAAACGAACAAGCAAGCCGGCGCGATGTACGGGGGAGGCGATGAGGAGGAGTACGAGCGGGAGCGGGAGGAGGAGGAGATTACGCAGGAGGACGCGTGGGCGGTGATCAGCGCGTACTTCGAGGAGAAGGGGCTGGTGCGGCAGCAGCTGGACTCGTTCAACGAGTTCATTCAGGACACGATGCAGAGCATTGTGGACGAGTCCGCGGAGATCGAGGTCCGCCCGCAAGCGCAGCATCTGCCTGGCCGACCCATGGACAACACGGATGTACGTATTACAGGGCGAACGGCAGACAGACAGCAGTTTTAAGGGTTGGATTGGGTTCGGTTGGGTTGGGTTGGGTTGGGTTGGGTTGGGTGGTGACGGTGCAGCTGGACTCGTTCAACGAGTTCATTCAGGACACGATGCAGAGCATTGTGGACGAGTCCGCGGAGATCGAGGTCCGCCCGCAGGCGCAGCATCTTCCGGGGCGACCCATGGACAATACCGACGTACGTGTTACGGAGCGAATGACAGACAGACAGCAGTTTCAGGGGCTGCTCTGCTTGGATATTTCCTGGTGGATTGGGGTGGCTTGGGTTGGCTTGGCTTGGCTTGGGTTGGGTTGGGTGGTGAGGGTGCGGCAGCAGCTGGACTCGTTCAACAAGTTCATTCAGGACACGATGCAGAGCATTGTGGACGAGTCCGCGGAGATCGAGGTCCGCCCGCAGGCGCAGCATCTTCCGGGGCGACCCATGGACAACACGGATGTACGTTCGCCAAAAACACATCTTTTTTGTTCTCGCACACCGCACCGCACAGCACAGTCACGCCCGCAGGCGCAGCATCTCCGCGGTCGCCCCATGGACAACACGGATGTGCGTATTACGGGTGGAACAACAGACATACAGCTGTTACAAGAGCTGCTTCGCTTGCATCTCCAGTTTGAAGAGTTGCTTCGCTTGCATTTTTTTCGGGTGGATTGGATTGGGTTGGGTTGGGTTGGGTGCTGATGGTCTGCCCGCAGGCGCAGCACCAACACGCTGTTCCCCAAAGGCCCCCTCTAACACCCCCTCCTCACCCTTCCTTCCCCCCATCTCCGCCCTCTCCTTCCCCATCAGATGACGTGCAAGGTGACGTTCGGGGAGATCTATCTGTCCAAGCCGACAATGACAGAGCCTGAGAGAGTGTAGAGCTGTATTCTCCACGCTTCTGTAATCACACGCAATGTTACACCCGACCGTTTCCCACCCTGCAGATGACGTGCAAGGTGACCTTCGGGCAGATCTATCTCTCCAAGCCAACAATGACAGAGCCGGACGGCGAGACCAACACGCTGTTCCCCAAAGCCCCACTCGTCCCCCGTCCTCCCCCCTCCTCCCCCCTCCTCCCCCACCTTCCAGATGACGTGCAAGGTGACGTTTGGGCAGATCTACCTCTCCAAGCCAACAATGACGGAGCCGGACGGCGAGACCAACACGCTGTTCCCCAAGGCGGCGCGCCTGCGCAACCTCACGTACGCCGCGCCTCTCTACGTGGACATTACCAAGACCATCACCACGCGCGGGGAGGACGGCGAGGAGGAGGTCAGCACGGAGCAAGCCGACAAAGTCTTCATCGGAAAAATCCCGATCATGCTGAGATCGAATTACTGCACGTTGCATAACGCCACGGATAAGGAGCTGACGGAGCTGGGGGAGTGCCCGTACGACCAGGGCGGGTATTTTGTGATTAACGGGAGCGAGAAGGTGCTGATCGCGCAGGAGAAGATGGCGAGCAACCACGTGTATGTGTTTCAGAAGCGGCAGCCGAACAAGTACGCGTACGTGGCGGAGGTGAGGAGCATGGCGGAGAGGCAGAACCGCCCGCCCAGCTCCTGCTTCATCCGCATGCTCTCCCGTTCTTCTACCAAATCGGTACGTTCCCCCTCTCCTCCTTCTTCCTCCTCCTGCAAAGCGATGTACGTGTCTCCCTCCTACCCTCGTTCAAGGCGGTAGGTGACATGATGTCTATCACGTTCTGCCACGCCACGGTATGTTTCTCCTCCCGCTCGCTGTGCAAACTGGAATGGCCATTGATCTGTTCCGTGTTCCCGTCCTTCTCCTTGCCTTCCACCCCGGTCTTCAGGGTTCATCAGGGCAAGTGATTCGGGCCACCCTCCCATACATCAAAGCGGAGGAGATCCCAATCATCGTGGTGTTCGTTTAATCCAACCAACCCATGCCTCTCCAACTACTGGACTTGACTTGACCGCACCCGCAGGGTTCATCAGGGCATGTGATCCCCGGGCCACCCTCCCGTACATCAAAGCAGAGGAGATCCCCATCATCGTTGTGTTCATTAACCCCAATTTATGTTTCTAATACGGTTCGCTCTGTTGAACTTGTCTTGTCTTGACGACTCCTGCAGGGCTCATCAGGGCAGGTGATCCGAGCGACCCTCCCGTACATCAAGGCAGAGATCCCGATCATCGTGGTGTTCCGCGCGCTGGGGTTCGTGGCGGATAAAGACATCATGGAGCATGTGTGCTACGACTTCACTGACACTGCCATGATGGAGCTGCTCAGGCCATCGCTAGAAGAGGCCTTCGTGATTCAAAACCAGCAGGTGGGTGCGGTGCGGGCATGGGTGCGTGCGTGAGTTGAGTTGCTCCCTGCCTACCTGCCTACCTGCCTGCCTGCACGCGCTGGGCTTCGTGGCAGACAAGGATATCATGGAGCATGTGTGCTATGACTTCACTGACACCGCCATGGTGGAGCTGCTCAGGCCCTCCTTGGAGGAGGCGTTCGTGATTCAAAACCAACAGGTGGGTGGGTGGGAGTATGTGTGGGTGTGCGTGTGCCGTTCCCCTTGCCTGTCTGCCTGCACGCGCTGGGGTTCGTGGCAGACAAGGATATCATGGAGCATGTTTGCTACGACTTCACTGATACCGCCATGGTGGAGCTGCTCAGGCCATTGCTCGAGGAGGCATTTGTGATTCAGACTATTCCTCATGCTAAATGCATGGTTACCTGCCTCCCTCTCCTCTTTCTCAACTTCCATCATTCTTCTTCTGTCGCTGCTGCTTCCATCATTCTGCTTTTGTCACTGTGAGTGTGATTATTTTTGGGGGAGGGGAGGGGAGTTGTTTCCTCGTTCATCTTTTGTCTATTCTCCTCCTACCTTCCCTTGCTGCTACCATGCCACCATTTTTTTCCCTCCATGATCTCACCATTTCGCACCCACGTGGCCTCCGTCCATTCTCCTCCTCCCTCCCCTTGCTGCCACATCAGGTGGCTCTGGATTACATAGGCAAGCGAGGCGTGCCGGTGGGTGCACCGTGCATCCTTGAGTCGATTTAAACTTAAAGTCTCGTTTATTCTCCTCCTCCCTCTCCTTGTTGCCACCATGTCAGGTGGCTCTGGATTACATTGGCAAGCGAGGCGTGCCAGTGGGCGCGCCACGCGAGCGAAGAATAAAGTGAGTGTGCTAGCTATTTCTACAGAACTCCATAGAGCCACCCACATGTGTAAGAGCTTGTGTGCTTGTGTGCTCGTGTCGTGTGTGCTTGCTCAAGAGAAATGCAAGCCTTCTTTTTCAGCGTCTCATTGGAACCTAGCCAGGCTTGAGTGCTCGTGTCGTGTGTGCTTGCTTGTGTGCTTGTGTGCTTGTATGCTTGTGTACTTGTGTGCTTGTATGCTTGTGTGCTTGTGTGCTTGTGTGCTTGTGTGCTTGTGTGCTTGTGTGCTTGTATGCTTGTGTGCTTGTGTGCTTGTATGCTTGTATGCTTGTGTGCTTGTGTGCTTGTGTGCTTGTGTGCTTGTGTGCTTGTGTGCTTGTGTGCTTGTATGCTTGTGTGCTTGTGTGCTTGTGTGCTTGTGTGCTTGTGTGCTTGTGTGCTTGTATGCTTGTATGCTTGTGTGCTTGTGTGCTTGTGTGCTTGTGTGCTTGTGTGCTTGTGTGCTTGTGTGCTTGTATGCTTGTGTGCTTGTGTGCTTGTGTTCTTGTTTGCTTGTGTGCTTGTGTGCTTGTATGCTTGTGTGCTTGTATGCTTGTGTGCTTGTATGCTTGTGTGCTTGTTTGCTTGCCGAATTATCTATTCAAGTGCCACCACGCTCTCAACTTTCTTCCTTCTCCCTCTTCTTCCTTCACTCTTCCCCCCCCCCCCCCCGCCCCCCCCCCTCTCTTCCACAGGTACGCCAAGGATATTCTCCAGAGGGAGTTCTTGCCCCACGTGGGTGTGGGCGAGTTTTGTGAAACCAAAAAGGCCTATTTCTTTGGGTGAGCATTTCCTTTGTTCGAGCATCGTTTCGCTTCACTGGTTACTTATCACTTTCACGGCAAGACTTGTTAGACTGGACATGGACTACCTGTTTCTCCCTGATTAGCGAAACAGGTGGCCCTTTTTCCCGACCCTTTTTCACTGATCCGCGTCCCCTTCCTGACCCTTTCATCCCTGCCTTTCCCGACTTCACCTCCCCCTCCCCCCCCCCTCTTCCTCCCCTTACCCCCCAGGTACATGATTCACCGGCTGCTGCTGTGTGCGCTGGGGCGGCGCAACGAGGACGACAGGGATCACTACGGCAACAAGCGCCTCGACCTTGCCGGGCCGCTGCTCGCTGGGCTCTTCCGCCAGGTACGGAGGGGTGGTGTGCGGTGGGGCATGGCATGGAGGGACGGTGTGCTTTGGCCTGAGGCATGGCATGGCATGGAGGGGGTGGCTGTGTTGTGCAACGTGCTCCCAGCAACGAGGACGACACGACAGGGATCACTATGGCAACAGGCGCCTCGACCTTGCCGGCCCGCTGCTCGCAGGGCTCTTCCGCCAGGTATGGAGGGGTGGTGTGCGGTGGGGTATGGCATGAATGAAGGAGTGGCTGTGCTGCCTGAGACGAGGACGACAGGGATCACTTCGGCAACAAGCGCCTGGATCTCGCTGGCCCGCTGCTCGCAGGGCTCTTCCGCCAGGTGGGTGTGTGTCTCTGGGCATGGCATCGTGAGTGTGTGTCTCTGGGCATGGCATCGTGAGTGTGCCCTTTGCGGCGCCTCAAAAGTCGTCTGGGCACTGCATTGGGAGTGTCGTGTGCCGGTGCCTTGCTGCATGGACTGGCACTCGACACTCCCAATGCCATGCCGGTGCCTTGCCGCATAGCTCCCAATGAGTGGAAGGCTGCAGTTTGTTCGGGCATTTCATAAGGGGCTCTGTGCGTGTTCGGGCATGGGGGGCTGTGCTCCCCCACCTGTCATTGCGTGACCTGTCATGTCCCCACCTGTGATCACGTGTGCTTATTCACCTTCATTCATCCTCCCTTGCCCCCACGTGCCCTTGCCCCATCTGTGTGCGCCCCACCCACCTGTCATGGCATGTGCCCAGCTGTCCGCAAGCTCACCAAGGATGTGCAAGGGTACCTGCAGCGGGTAAGAACACACGTGGGGACGGGCGCACATGGGTGTGTAGGCTTCTGTCTCCAGTGCGCCCATGTGCGCCCGTGTGCGCCCATGTGCGCCCGTGTGCGCCCATGTGCGCCCGTGACTGGTGCCACCAGTGACTTTTTCTTTGCCACCAGTGTCTCTCTCTCTCTGGCTCTTGCTCTCTGTGGCCTCTTGCTCTCTGTGGCCTCTTGCTCTCTGTGGCCTCTTGCTCTCTGTGGCCTCTTGCTCTCTGTGGCCTCTTGCTCTCTGTGGCCTCTTGCTCTCTGTGGCCTCTTGCTCTCTGTGGCCTCTTGCTCTCTGTGGCCTCTTGCTCTCTGTGGCCTCTTGCTCTCTGTGGCCTCTTGTTCCCTGTGTTTTTACTCTCTATCTCGGCTTCCCTCCACATGTCTCCCTCGCCAGTGCATGGATCACGGCAAGGAGATCAACCTGTCGTATGCAGTGAAGGCGAAGATCATTACAGGCGGGCTTAAATACTCGGTGGCCACGGGTAACTGGGGGCAGGCCAACCAGGCCGGCACCAAGGCGGGGGTGTCACAGGTATGGTGGTGCTCTTACTGAGAACAATGTGTCACAGGTAGGTACGTCGATTGCTCTCTCTGCAAGTACTCTGTGGCTACGGGCAACTGCGGACAGGCCAACCAGGCGGGCACCAAGGCGGGGGTGTCGTCACAGGTGGGGTGCTCAAAACTGTGACTGCACAGGCTGATAGCAAGGTATCGCAGGTACATTTACTGCTCTCGCTGCAAGAATTTCTGTCTCCACGGGCAATTAGGGGCGGGCCAACCAGGCGGGCACCAAAGCTGACTTATGGTGCGTGTGCCCTGAATCTTCTCGCCCATGGGTCCTCTCGCTCACATCTGCGACACCTCAAATCGCCCATCTTCACACTTCAACAATAAAATTGAGTTATTTTTCCACCCATCACTGAACTGTAGGTGCTGAATTGCCTCCTACACGTCCTCCCTCTCCCATCTGTGCCGGCTCTAACTCGCCCATCGGGCGCGACGGCAAGCTGGCGAAGCCATCCCAAGCCCACTCATGCCCCTGCTGCCTCTGCTCTCCTCCTCCCATCCCACCCGCGCGCCTCTGCCCTGCAGGTGCTGAATCGTCTGGCCTATGCGTCCTCCCTGTCCCATCTGCGCCGCGTCAACTCGCCCATCGGTCGAGACGGCAAGCTGGCGAAGCCGAGGCAGCTGCACAACTCGCTGTGGGGCATGATGTGCCCCGCTGAGACCCCCGAGGGGCAGGCCGTGGGATAGGGCTCCACTCCCCCTTCCCACCCACTCCCTCACTCTCACCCATTTCCAAACTCACTCGTCCTCCTGCTGCCCTGTGCTGCTCTACCTCCCACTCCTGACCTGAACCACAGGTGCTGAATCGTCTGGCCTACGCGTCCTCCCTGTCCCATCTGCGCCGCCTCAACTCGCCCATCGGTCGCGACGGCAAGCTGGCGAAGCCGAGGCAGCTGCACAACTCGCTGTGGGGCATGATGTGCCCCGCTGAGACCCCCGAGGGGCAGGCCGTGGGATAGGGCTCCACTCCCCCTTCCCACCCACTCCCTCACTCTCACCCATTTCCAAACTCACTCGTCCTCCTGCTGCCCTGTGCTGCTCTACCTCCCACTTCTGACCTGAATCACAGGTGCTGAATCGTCTGGCCTACGCGTCCTCCCTGTCCCATCTGCGCCGCCTCAACTCGCCCATCGGTCGCGACGGCAAGCTGGCGAAGCCGAGGCAGCTGCACAACTCGCTGTGGGGCATGATGTGCCCCGCTGAGACCTCCGAGGGGCAGGCCGTGGGGCTGGTGAAGAACCTGGCGCTCATGACGTACATCACTGTAGGCAGCAACGCCGCTCCCATCCTGGAGTTTCTGGAAGAGTGGCTCACTGAGAATCTCGAGGTACGATTGGGTTGTGTGGTGGTTTTGTGGGGAGGGCAGACGGCAGTGGATGGGTGGGGCTGGGTGGGGCTGGTGAAGAACCTCGCGCTCATGACGTACATCACTGTGGGGAGTAACGCGCTCCCATCCTGGAGTTTCTGGAAGAGTGGCTTACGGAGAACCTCGAGGTACGGCCTCTATGTGTTCCCATTTTTTTTTTCAGTCAATGCAAGTCAATTCAAGTCGAAGTGGGTTCTGGAAGGGACCCTGAGGGGCAGGCCGTGGGGTGGTGAGGAACCTCGCGCTCATGACGTACATCACTGTGGGCAGCAATGCCGCTCCTATTCTGGAGTTCCTGGAAGAGTGGCTCACTGAGAACCTGGAGGTACGTTTGTTGTTACCCACTCCGCACACAATCAGGGCTTGTGTGGTTTGGGGGAGCAGCACAGGCGGCAGGCATGCACGCGGTGGGGCTGGTGAGGAACCTCGCGCTCATGACATACATCACTGTGGGCAGCAACGCTGCCCCTATCTTGGCGTTTCTGGAGGAGTGGCTCATGGAGAACCTCGAGGTACGCTCGTTTTGTATGGATTGAGGGAGGGAGCAACACAGGCGGCAGATAGGCAGGTTGTGGGGCTGGTGAAGAGCCTCGCGCTCATGACGTACGTCACTGTGGGGAGCAACGCCGCTCCCATCCTGGAGTTTCTTGAGGAGTGGCTGACTGAGAATCTCGAGGTATGCTCGTTATGAGTTGTTCACGCAATATGAGGGCGTGCACACAAGACGTGGTGGTGGGGTGGGGTGGGGTGGGGTGGGGTGCGGCCCTTTTGACTTCTCGTACCTTCTGCTGCCTTCTCTTCTCACCCTCCTTCCCCCACCCTCTCCTCTCTCCCGTCCCTTCCCTTCACCAGGAGATCTCCCCAGCGCTCATCCCGCAGGCCACCAAGGTGTTTGTCAACGGCTGCTGGGTGGGCGTCCATCGCGACCCGGATGAGCTCGTGCGCACGCTGAGACAGCTCCGGAGACAGGTGAGGCTTTTGTAGTTTGGTTGGATGTGGTGTGGTGTGGTGTGGTGTGGCGTGGCGTGGCGTGGCGTGGCGTGGCGTGGCGTGGCGTGGCGTGGCGTGGCGTGGCGTGGCGTGGCGTGGCGTGGCGTGGCGTGGCGTGGCGTGGCGTGGCGTGGTTTGCACTCATTTGCTGCTGGGTGGGAGTGCATCACGACCTGGGAGCTCACGGCTGCTGGGTGGGGCTGCTGGGTGGGGCTGCTGGGTGGGTGCGTTTGCATCGGAACTAAGCTCAGACGCACAATACCTTGGACGTGTGCTTTGTTGCTCCCTTCTGTCCGTCTCCCTGGTCCCCTTCTCCCCTTCTTCCCCGCCATCCATCCAGCTATGTGTATGAATAAATGTTTTGAGACGTCTCAAAACTCTTTGTTGCTCCCTTCTGTCCGTCTCCCTGGTCCCCTTCTCCCCTTCTTCCCCGCCATCCATCCAGCTGGACGTGAACTCAGAGGTCTCAGTGGTGCGTGACATCCGCCTGAGGGAGCTGCGCCTATACACGGATTACGGGCAGTGCTCCCGCCCGCTCTTCATAGTGGAGAAGCAGCGGCTGCTTGTCAAGAAGCACCTGCCCGTCTCCCTCCCCCTCCCCCCCCCATTTCCTTTTCTCCCTTCCCCATCCCAGCTGGATGTGAACTCGGAAGTGAGTGTGGTGCGTGACATCCGTCTCAGAGAGTTACGGCTCTACACGGATTACGGGCGGTGCTCCCGCCCGCTTTTTATCGTGGAGAAGCAGCGGCTGCTGATCAAGAAGCGTGATGTGCTGGCGCTGCAGCAGGAGGGCTCGGGCATCGGATGGAACGAGCTGGTGGAGAAGGGGTTTATCGAATACGTGGATACGATGGAGGAGGAGACTACCATGATCTCCATGACCATCCATGTGAGTGTTTCTATCTCACTCACGGGAGTGGATACATAAATACAATCAGCGCAGCTCTTCAGCTTGGATGCAGCAGGAGGGCTCGGCCATCGGGTGGAACGAGCTGGTGGAGAAGGGGTTTATAGAATATGTGGATACGATGGAGGAGGAAACGACCATGATCTCCATGACCATCCATGTGAGTGCTGCAATCTCACTCACAGCATTCCGTACGTACATGCATTACAACATTCACAAGTCTGCAGTTTGAATGCGTATGTCGGGCATGGGGTGGAACGAGGTGGTGATGGAGAAGGGGTTTATCGAGTATGTGGATACGATGGAGGAAGAGTCTACCATTATCTCCATGACCACTCATGTGTGTGCTGCCATCATCTCAATTCGTGTGAGTGCTGCCATCATCTCAATTCGTGTGAGTGCTGCCATCATCTCAATTCGTGTGAGTGCTGCCATCATCTCAATTCGTGTGAGTGCTGTAGTCTTGTGCTGCTGTGGGCTGACATGCCCCTAGGACCCTCCTGGGCATCGGGTGGAAGGAGCTGGTGGTGGAGAGTCTACTATGAAGGGAGAGTCTTCCATCGTACCCTGGAAGGGTTTATTGAATACGTGGATACGATGGAGGAAGAGTCCACTATGATCTCCATGATGACCATTCATGCTCCGCCCCTGCTCCCTTCATTCCAGGACGTGACAGCAGCCCGGCTGAACCTTACGGAGGCATACAGTGCCTCGTAGTTAAAATTCTCTCCACATAAAATCCGCGTGCGTTGAGACGATTTTTTAGGCGCCTCAAAAATCGGAGGCATACAGTGCCTCGTACACACACTGCTTGCAATGTGAGATCCGCCCCTCCTTCCCCTCCCTTAGATTTCACTTATATCCCATTCACATCTGCCTCTCTTCCTGTCAGGACGTGACAGCGGCACGACTGAACCCCACGGAGGCCTACAGTGACACGTACACGCACTGCGAGATCCACCCCTCTCTCATCCTCCCGTCCTTTCTGTGGATCTCATCAATTCGTCCCATCTGTGTGTGCACCTCCCATCTGCTTTCAGGACGTGACAGCGGCACGGCCCAACCCCACGGAGGCATACAGTGACACGTACACACACTGCTTGCGATGCGAGATCCACCTCTCCTTCCCCTCCCTTCACTTATAAGTTATATCCCCTTCACTCCTCCCTCTCATCCTCTGTCAGGACGTGACAGCAGCGCGGCTGAACCCCACAGAGGCCTACAGCGACACATACACGCACTGCGAGATCCACCCCTCGCTCATCCTCCCGTCCTTTCTGTGGATCTCATCATTTCGTCCCATCTGTGTGTGCACCTCCCATCTGCTTTCAGGACGTGACAGCGGCACGGCTGAACCCCACGGAGGCCTACAGCGACACATACACACACTGCGAGATCCACCCCTCGCTCATCCTCGGCGTCTGCGCCTCCATCATCCCCTTCCCCGACCACAACCAGGTAAGTAACACCTCCCTTCACTGCAGCCAAATTCCCCGACCACAACCAGGTAACACCTCCCCCGACCACAACCAGGTAACACCTCCCCGGACTGCAGTCACGTGGCACCTCCCCCGAGCCGCCACAACCAGGTAACGCCTTTCCTGCACAACCACCTAACGCCTTTCCTCACCCCACCGGGTAACACCTCCCCTGATCACAACCAGTTAATTACCCAGAAGTCCAGCAAGTTATTTGTCGGTGCTTTCCATTTATCTGCCGCCTGTGCCCATGCACTCGACCAGTTATGAGGCCCCTCAAAACCTTCGAGGCGCCTGAAAAACCCATGCACTCGAGCAGCTATTAACCTCACCTGCTGCCTTGTCACATCCATCTCGCCACTCTCTTCCCTTCCCCCACCCTTTCAACGCACCCCAGTCCCCCAGGAACACGTACCAATCGGCGATGGGCAAGCAGGCGATGGGCATGTATGAGACCAACTACTCATGTTCCACGCCTCCTTCCCTCCTTTGTCTGTTGCCCGTCCTCTATCCCCCTTCGCCGCACCCCTCCTCACCCCACCAGTCCCCCAGGAACACGTATCAGTCGGCGATGGGGAAGCAGGCGATGGGCATGTATGTGACCAACTACCAGTCGCGCATGGACACCGTCGCCTACGTCCTCTACTACCCGCAGAAGCCCCTCGCCACCACGCGCGCCATGGAGCACCTCCACTTCCGCGAGCTGCCTGCTGGGATTGTGAGTGGGAAACACACGGACATTCATGCATGTGCACACTCACCCACGCACACACGGAGAAGCCCCTCGCCACCACGCGCGCCATGGAGCACCTTCACTTCCGCGAACTGCCCGCTGGGATCGTGAGCAAATCACACATACATTATACATATGTACTTTTGTACATACACACATTACATGCTTGCCTGTGCTCACACACACACGCACAATCCCCTCGCCACTACGCGCGCCATGGAGCACCTTCACTTCCGCGAGCTGCCTGCTGGGATCGTGAGTAAACCAGGCAATAGCTCAGCTCATATACACACACCTACATACTTACATTCACGCATGCAGGCGCAAACAGGAGGACTCAGTCATCATGACCTGTGTCTCCCTCCCTTCCTTGTAACCTCTCCCTCCACTTCCGGTTGTGTGTTTGTGCTGGGTAATCCCCCCCTTTCCCTGCACGGAACGCCATAGTGCCGTCCATCCTGTGCTACTCGGGGTACTCCAGGTGCAACCAGGAAGATTCGGTCATTGTGAAACAATCCTTCTCTCCTCTCTTTGTGTGTCCATCAATCCCGTATGTATTCTGTGACGTCTCCCTCTCCCTGCAATCCTACAGAACGCCATAGTGTCGATCCTGTCCTATTCGGGGTACAACCAGGAGGACTCCGTCATCATGAACCAGTCTTGCTCCCTTCTAACCTCCCCCTCCTTTCCGGTTCTGCGTGTGCTGTGCTGTGTGATGCCTCCGCCTCCCCCCACCCTGCACCTCCACCTGCACAGAACGCCATAGTGTCAATCCTGTCCTGCTCGGGCTACAACCAGGAGGACTCAGTCATCATGAACCAATCCCTCCCTCTTCTCTTTCAGTGTCCATCAATCCCTTATGCATTCTGTGATGTCTCCCTCTCCACTCCACCATCGCAGAACGCCATAGTGTCGATCCTGTCGTACTCGGGGTACAACCAGGAGGACTCGGTCATCATGAACCAGTCCTCCATTGATAGGGGCTTCCACCGCTCCATCGTCTTCAAGTCCTACAGGTGCGAACAGGGGCCTTTCTCACTCTCAGGCTCGCTGGGAAAGAGCGGGTTTGTATCATGTTTCAGGTGAATGGGCTCGAGTGAATGACCATAGAGGTACAGGAGGACTCGGTCATCATGAACCAGTCCTCCATCGACCGCGGCTTCCACCGCTCCATCGTCTTCAAGTCCTACAGGCACGTGAGGAGTTCTGTGCTGTGCAGACTGTAGGACTTGAAGAAGCGAAATGTTAGGTGGATAAGGAGTTGTGTGTTTCTCTCACACTCACTCTCACTTTCATTCCTCCCGCTCACCACAGGGACAAGGAGAAGAAGAGTGGCAGCATGGTGAACGAGGAGAAGAAGAGTGGAAACATGGTGAACGAGGAGTTTTGTGCTGTGCATGCCGTTTGGCTCTCCTCACTCTCGCTTGTTCTCTCAACCCTCTCTTCCTCGCACCATGTGTCGCAGGGACGAGGAGAAGAAGAGTGGCAGCATGGTGAACGAGGAGTTTGAGCGTCCCAACCGAGAAATCACCATGGTGAGTCATGCCCGCCCTGTCATCTTTGCATGGCATGGCATGACCATGGGATGGCATGACCATGGGATGGCATGACAAAACGACACCATGATATGGCCCTGCATGACGGTGTGGGTGCAGGTGTGAGTGTGGCTGGGGGTGTGGTTGGGGGTGCGGGTGTGGTTGGGGGTGCGGGTGTGGTTTGCGGGTGTGGGTGTGGGATGAGATTGGGCACAATTCTTTGTCCCTCACTGCACGCGTGCATTGTTTTGAAGTCTCAATAGCGACACACCAAAATCACTGCATGGATCTAGGGGTGTGATGTGATCCGATCCATCGACTCGTTTTTTAGTCGACTCAAAAGCAGGCTTATCACTGCATGGATCTAGGGGTGTGATGTGATCCGATCCATCGACTCGTTTTTTAGTCGACTCAAAAGCAGGCTTATCACTGCATGGATCTAGGGGTGTGATGTGATCCGATCCATCGACTCGTTTTTTAGTCGACTCAAAAACAGGCTTATCACTGCATGGATCTAGGGGTGTGATGTGATCCGATCCATCGACTCGTTTTTTAGTCGACTCAAAAGCAGGCTTATCACTGCATGGATCTAGGGGTGTGATGTGATCCGATCCATCGACTCGCCGTTCAACCCATCTGCTCCTGCCTCGTGCCTATCCCCATCTCCTCATCAGGGCATGCGCCACGGGTCATACAATAAGCTGGACGATGATGGCATCAGGCCCCTCGCAGCCTCGCGTGCTGACCCTCACCCTCGTCCTATGCACCACCCTGTTGCCCCCTTTTTCTGTGCTTCCATCAGGGCATGCGGCACGGGTCATACAATAAGCTGGGCGATGATGGCATCATCCCCACTCTTGTTCTTGCCCTCTTTAGAGATTTCTTACGACAAGCCGCCTCCCGTTTTTGTCTCTGCCGTTTCTGCCCTGTCCCCCCGTTGGTGTGGTGCGGTGCACCACCAGGGCATGCGGCACGGGTCATATAGCAATCTGGGTGGGCGATGATGGCATCAGGCCCCTCGCTTGCTGACGTGATAAAAGTGTCGTTTTGAGACGTCTCAAAACAACACTTTTATCACGTGGCATGCGGCACGGGTCATATAGCAAGCTGGACGATGATGGCATCAGGCCCCTCGCTTGCTGACCCTCACCCTCGTCCCTCTCTGCCGTGTCTGCCCTGTCTCCCCTTGCTGTTCATGTATCAGGGCATGCGGCACGGGTCATATGACAAGCTGGACGATGATGGCATCATCCCTCCGGTGAGTTTTCCTATTGGATTTCCCACCAAACGCGTTTGACAATTCTGAATAGTCCTTCTGGCCGGTGGGTGTGACGGGGTCAGCGTATGAATGGGACTAGAAGGACCCTCATGGAAGGGGTGTGACGGGGTCAGCATATGAATGGGACTAGAAGGACCCTCATGGAAGGGGTGTGACGGGGTCAGCATATGAATGGGACTAGAAGGACCCTCATGGAAGGGGTGTGACGGGGTCAGCATATGAATGGGACTAGAAGGACCCTCATGGAAGGGGTGTGACGGGGTCAGCATATGAATGGGACTAGAGGTGAAAGCCTGGGGTTGGGAGGGGGATTGAGTGTACCGGGAGGAAAGGGGGGGCTGGCCACTAGGTACGAGAGGAAACATTTTTTTATTGATAGAATACACCGAACTAGGTACGGGAGGAACTGCGGGTGGAGTGGGAATGGGGTCATCGGTGGAACTGGTACAGTAGAGGATATGAAAGCAGTCTTGAGATTTCACAGTGAGTTCGCTCTGAGTCGGTTTTCAGTGTGGGCATGTCCTGTGTTGCTTGCAGTGGCACACTAGATGCAATTGTGAAGGGTGTGATTGATTGCACTCTTCACTTTGTCCTGTTTATCTCGTTTCACGTTATCCGATCGTTCCATGGCTCGCGATTGGCAGCAGAGGACGTGATCATCGGCAAGACGACGTCCATCCCTCCTCGCCCCTCCCTCCCCTACGCCCGCTGCGCCTTGCTAACCCCTCCTAACCACTCCTAATGCCTCCAAACCCTTCCTAACCCCTTCTCACCGCTCTGAACCATTCCAGGGCTCGCGAGTGGCAGCAGAGGATGTGATCATCGGCAAGACGATGCCCATTCCTCCTCGCACCTCCCTCCCCTACACCCGCTGTGCCTGGCTAACCCCTCCTAACCACTCCTAATGCCTCCAAACCCTTCCTAACACCTCCTCACCCCTCTGAACCATTACAGGGCTCGCGAGTGGCAGCAGAGGATGTGATCATCGGCAAGACAATGCCCATTCCTCCGGATGAGACGGGCGGTGTGGCTCAGCGGTTCAGCAAGCGCGACATGAGCACTTGCCTCAAGCACAGCGAGACAGGCGTGATCGACCAGGTGGGAGGGATGATTGGTAAGGTGGGGTGAGATGTAGACAGGATGGATGGGGGGCATGAGGGAGGGATGAGACGGGCGGTGTGGCTCAGCGGTTCAGCAAGCGCGACACGAGCACGTGCCTCAAGCACAGCGAGACCGGCGTGATCGACCAGGTGGGTTTGTGTACGCAGGAAGGGGGTGAGGGGCATGCGCATGTGGCTCAGCGGTTCAGCAAGAGGGAGGTGGTTCTCAGAACCAACAATGATGGTCTTTGCTTTGTGAAGATCCGCGTGCGCTCCATCCGCGTGCGCTCCATCCGCGTGCCGCAGATCGGCGACAAGTTTGCATCACTCATCCCTCTTCCATCTTCCCATCTCTCGCCTTGGCTCGTGCAAAACCAACCAGGTGGTTCTGACGACCAACAACGATGGCCTCCGGTTTGTGAAGATCTGCGTGCGGTCGATTCGAGTCTTCCAGATCGGAGACAAGTTTGCATCACTCATCCCTCTTCCTGCTTGCTATGCCATGCTCGCCCATGCAACCCAACCAACCAGGTGGTTCTGACAACCAACAACGACGGGCTTCGTTTCGTCAAGATCCATCCGGTTGTTTTTTTAGAATTCTAAAAAAACGCTCGCTTCAACCAACAATGACGGTCTTCGTTTCGTCAAGATCCATCCGGGGACAAGTTTGCCTTATGGTTGTGACGCTTCCGTCTTCCCCATCTCTCCCCTTGGCACGTGCAAAACCAACCCAGGTGGTTCTGACAACCAACAATGATGGCCTCCGGTTTGTGAAGATCCGCGTGCGCTCGATTCGAGTGCCGCAGATCAGCGACAAGTTTGCATCACTCATCCCTCTTCCTGCTTTCTATGCCATGCTCGCCCATGCAACCCAACCAAATAGGTGGTTCTCACAACCAACAACGATGGGCTCCGCTTTGTCAAGATTCGCGTGCGCTCGATCCGAGTCCCCCAGATCGGCGACAAGTTTGCGTCGCGGCACGGGCAGAAGGGCACGATCGGCATGACGTACACGCAGGAGGACATGCCGTTCAGCTGTGAGGGCATCTCGCCGGATATCATCGTCAACCCGCACGCCATCCCGTCCCGCATGACCATCGGGCATCTCATTGAATGTTTGATGAGCAAAGTCGCTGCTCACATGGGCAAGGAGGGGGATGCCACACCCTTCACTGACGTCACGGTATGTTCTCGAGTCATAGCAAGCAAGTCTGCTGCTTTACATCCTTCACGCCAGATGTGGGGGCTTCAGTGCATGAACTCTCCAAGCATCATGATGCCGTCGTTCATTCCATTTCTAACCTTTCTCCTCCAAATCGTTCACGCCGCTTATGCGTTTCCTATCCCTCCCTTAATCCCTTGACAGATACGTGTGCTCCAGGTGGACAATCTGAGCCACACGGGGCGACTTTTGAGGCGCCTCAAAAAAACCTTCTGAGGCGCCTCAAAAAAACCTTCTGAGGCGCCTCAAAAAAACCTTCTGAGGTGCCTCAAAGGTGCTCCAGGTGGACAATCTAAGCCACACGGAGCGGACGCTGCACAAGTGTGGTTACTTACCAGATGTGGCTGTTGCTTCATCCACTCTTCCCAAATCTCTTCTTTCATCTGAAGCCTTCACACGTATTCCATTCCAGGTGGACAATCTGAGCCGCACGTTGCACAAGTGTGGGTACCAGATGAGGGGATTCGAGCGCATGTAGCCTCACCATCAGGGGCCGGGCCTGTTCTTATGCCTTTCTTACCTTACCTACCCATTGTTTCCACAGGTGGACAATCTGAGCCGCACGTTGCACAAGTGTGGGTACCAGATGCGGGGATTCGAGCGCATGTACAACGGCCACACGGGGCGGCCGCTGCAGGCCATGATCTTCCTGGGCCCCACCTACTACCAGCGCCTCAAGCATATGGTGGACGATAAGATCCATTCCCGAGGGAGAGGGCCCGTGCAGGTGAGTAGCTGTGGTGCGGGTAGGTGTGTTGGTAGGCTGGTACCCAGCAGGCATTAACAGGTAGGCCTTGACTGGCTGGTACCAATCAAGCCATGATCTTCCTGGGCCCCACCTACTACCAGCGCCTCAAGCATATGGTGGATGATAAGATCCATTCCCGAGGCAGGGGACCCGTGCAGGTGAGTTATCTCTTTCAGGGTTGTGTTGGCCGGTACTCAGCAGACTTCTAGGGTGGGTAGGCTGGTACCTAGCATGAGCCATGACCTTCTACCAGGCCCCACCCCACCTACTACCAGCGCCTCAAGCACATTGTGGATGATAAAGTCCACACGTGGGACAGGGCCTAACCACTTCAATATTCCCTCTGGCCACTGTCAATCCCATTCAACTCCTGTGGAATTTACCAGATTCTGACTCGGCAGCCAGCAGAGGGTCGGTCGAGAGACGGTGGGCTGCGGTTCGGAGAGATGGAGCGGGATTGCATGATTGCGCACGGCGCTGCGGCGTTCCTCAAGGAGAGGCTGTTTGACCACAGCGATGCGTACCGTGTGCACGTGTGCGAGTTCTGTGGACTCATTGCGATCGCCAACCTCAAGAAGGGGCTGCTGGAGTGCCGCGGATGCAAGAACAAGACGGATATTGTGCAGGTGAGGGGTAGAGGGGAGAGAGGGGGGAAAAGTGAGAGGGGAGTGGCGAGAGGAGGAGAGCAAGTGAGTGGAGGGGCAAGGGAGGGAAGCAGGTGGGAAGGGAGAGGAGGGGAGCTAAAGGGGGTTGTGTCTCAAGGAGAGGCTGTTTGACCACAGCGACGCGTACCGCGTGCACGTGTGCGAGTTATGCGGTCTCATTGCGATCGCGAACCTCAAGAAGGGGCTGCTGGAGTGCCGCGGATGCAAGAACAAGACGGATATTGTGCAGGTGAGGGGTAGAGGGGAGAGAGGAGAGAGGGGGAAAAGTGAGAGGGGAGTGCCGCGGATGCAAGAACAAGACGGACATTGTGCAGGTGAGGGGCGAGAGGGGGGAGAGCGGAGTGGAGATGGTGAGCAGGGAGAGAGGATAGAGGAGAGGAGCAGGTGGGGGGGCTGTTGGAGTGCCGCAGGTGCAAGAACAAGACGGACATTGTCCAGGTGAGGGGAGAGAGTTGAGAGATGGGAGGGGGAGAAGAGGTGAGAGGCGAGAGGCGAGATAAGAGGCGAGAAGAGGGGCTTCAGGAGTGCCGCGGATGCAAGAACAAGACGGACATTGTCCAGGTGAGGGAAGAGGGGAGAAGGGAGAGGGGAGAGAGGGGAGAGGGGGGGAGCAGGTGCACACGAAAGGAGAGGAGAGGAGGAGGTGAGATTGGAAGAAGAGGAGAGCAGGGAGGGGTGTGTCAAGGAGCTGGCTGCATGCAAGCTGTTGTTCCAGGAGCTCATGGCCATGGCCATTGTACCTAATGTGCCTCACGGCCTTGTGTTCTCCTTTCCCTGCTCACCCCAGGTCCACATGCCATACGCATGCAAGCTGTTGTTCCAGGAGCTCATGGCCATGGCCATTGCGCCTCGCATGCTCACTCGCGAGACACCCGCGCCCAAGACGAAGAAGAAAGCACCCACTGCTGCTTCTTGATTGGCCAGCATTGTGAGTCGTGACCAAGCAAGCAAAGATCAGAGAATAATACATTGTTGCAGCTTTTTATCTGTTGTCACAGTGTTTTTTTTTTTGTTTGGAGCATGGGCAACGACACCTGGGGCAAGATATCAGTGTCAATGCCAGCATTTTGTACAAATTAGTAGCACTCGTCAGTGCTGTGGGCCATGTGGGGTGGGGTATCACAAAAAGTGGCAACAGGGAACTGTGCCAGCCGGGAATCGAACCCGGGTCTGCACCGAGCTGATTGGCAGGGTGCTATTCTACCACTAGACCACTGGCACACAAGTGGACGTGAGTAGGTGTAGCCATGTCTAAATGATGACGGAGCCAGATTTGACATGACAAGCCACAATGGCTGTCTTTCTTGCCCCTCCAAGTACAACGTGCGGCCAGCCATGGCGGCTGCGCGGCTATCAATGGCGCCTCGTACCTTTCCCGTCTATACACGGGCGCGTATGAGCTGGAGCTGGCGCCCTCCTGTGCGAAGGACAGCTCCGGTAAGCTCCATTCATCGGAGCGGGAGCATAGCGCGAGGCTCTGCCTTACTGAGGGTGGAAAATGCACGATTGACGGCTCCCTTCCTGTTAACCTTGAGAAAGGCTGTTCACGTGTGCCTACCTTTGCTTTATTGACAGTGGTACCTGGCTAGAGCCAGTTCGGCCGCATTTCGACGCTAGCTAACCGGTCAGGACACGGACGCCAATTTCTCCCCGACAGCACTGAGACACTTTCTGAGTCTAGCAGCGAGTAGTGAATACACTGACTGCAAATGGTAGCATCTCACGGAAAATCGCCTTTGATTTCTCAAGAATTCAAGTACTTCTGGATTCTATCGCTCCTGATCTTGGCCTCCACGTGTCACGCGATGGTCCACTCTGGAGCCCTGAACACGGATCGTTCAAGTGTCGCTGGTGGCGGAGCAACGGCTGCGAGGATTGCGAACGCGGCAGGTGTTCCTGTCGTGACCGCGAATAGGAGATCGCTCTGCGGTGAGTTTCTTTCGTGCGAAATCTCACCTTTCACTTTGGCGAATGCTTGGCTCGTGAGTCGTTTTAAAACTGGAAAAACTGGAATTTCCGCCTGGTTCTACGTTGACGAGCGTTTGGCTTGTAGACGTTGCTTGATCGAATCCTGATTATCAGTTACAATCCCCCAGCAAACGCCTGATAAAGTCATCGTGTATTGGAGCTGCTTTCCCGTCGTTGTCTCGTTCTTGCAGATGACAACGCCACTGTCGCGTCTGACAGTAACGAGCATGACAGCACGAAGAACAACCCCTCTACTAACGCGTCAGAGTCCGATGGCGGCTCAAATCATACATCAACGTCCACCGGCAGTGATGCGGTTCGAAACCACAGGGACCAGGGGCATACGTCGAATGCGGCCGGATCGGGAAAAGGCACAAGCGAACGAGTTGACGGCGAGGGAAAGGGGGAGCTGGTGGGGAACGACGCTAATGCTGAGAAGAATAAGGACACGTGTCATGAGAGCAGTCGGCGTGACGGGCGCGAGGAGCGAAACGAGAAGGACAAAAGGAAGGAGAATAACGAGAAGAGTGATGGAGACGAGAGTGAAAAGAAGGAGACGAGAGGAAAGAGCGACAACGGGAACACACATGAGCAGAGTCACCGTGAACGCGAGGAGGCCGGCAATGTCGGAACGGCAGAAAAGGGAGGGAATGGGGACGAGATTAAAACCGCGGAACGTTCTCACGGCGGCGATTCGTCGAGGGCGGGAGAAGATCACACGAAGTGTAACGACTCTACCGAGGGGGAGTCGTCAACCAGCGGCAGCAGCGGAAGCGGGACTGATGTTTCGCTTGCGGATCGGCTGGGCGGCAGTGAGAAACTTCCGTCGTCGCTCGCTGCGTTACTAGCTGACGCGCTTATACGACTGACTGCGACTGCTCAAATCCAAATCAACGGCCAAGGTGAGAAAAATCTGGCAGTAAGCGGGGCGCATGACATTGTGTCATACATCACCGGTGTTTGAGATTCGACCTTCTAATAGATTCCGTGGCTGTCTTGCAGGGCTGGACCTCGGACGCCGGGCCGGACGGCAAGGCTCGTCATCAAACCCCATTTCCAGGTCTGGGCATCCGGCTCGGAGAAGCGACCAAGTCCTCGCGAATCCGCTAATGGCGGTGAATCTGTACGTGTTCAACAAGCCGATTGAAATCTCGGCCGTCCATTCGTTCGAGAACAAGGGCAGCGTATCGCTGCAGACGCAGCTCGCTCTTACGACGGCGCTGGCGCGAGACAACGCCACGGTGACGCAAGACCACCCGCAATTTCAGGAGAGCGGGTTGGGGAACGCCCAGACTCAACATGGGTCTAACATGACGGTTCTAAGCAAAAACTCGACGGCAGGGAATTTAACGGCGTCGCTGGAAAGTGGAGGTGATGGTGACCCGCCGTTACCTGCGGCGGCACGTTTGCCGCCATCTGCGGTGTCTAGTTCTAGATCTCATGGTCGTGCGACGAATTCCTCGGCTCCATAAAAGCTTCCCCAACCTGCTCCGGTACAAGCTCGGCTATAATTTTTGAAGGAATAAGAACGTGCGCTATAAAACCTGTTAAATTAGATGCTGTGCTGTTAGAATCAAAAAATGATGTCGCTGATATTATTGTGTAACTAATTGAATCCTTCTCTGTGCATGACGTTTCTCGTTCTCTACATCGCGGTATTATCACACAGCGCTTCCTCCACCCACCTCTGTTTCATCCCCGACAGCACGCCAAGCATCTGACACATGTGGTTCACCAGTCACCCATCGCACACCCTCTTGGTGAATCCTAACCGTCCACGTGGAGTCAGACATAATCAGTGGGATCAACGGGGGACAACTGATCCGAGCCGCATGTCAACCCATCACGAACATGAAGCATATCTCGAGGCGCCGCCCGTCAAGGCACGCAGTCCGCCCCTTGCCGCGGCATCGCGTCGCGTTGCGAATTTTTCCAAACAAAACGAGACATCAAAGAAAGCGTGTTTCTGCGACTAGAAATAGTGGCTCGTTCAAACAGGGCCCCATTCCGTCACACCCCGCATTCCCCTTCAACGTTGAATCACTGAACCATATTCCAGCCGACCTCCGACCTTCCAACAAATGACTTCTCGCGTGAAGCACGCTCAAACAACACGACGAATTCCTATCGCTGCTGCCGGAGTCGTTCCGCTGCTGTTAGTGCTCGTCGCCACTGTTCCAGCGGGATCCGCGGGAGCTCGTTCGGAACCTTCTAATGGCCTCCCGTCGACCGCGCTGGGTGGACTGCGAGGCGACGTCGACAACTTGCAAGGACCTCTTAAGGACGTCGGACACGAACTGTTTGGCACGAGTGGTCTGATTGGCCAAGAAGTACTCATTAAAGCAGTCGATCAAGACGAAATCCTTCACGCAGCACACGGTGGTCTAACTGGTGATGCTCGCGGCGCTGCAGTTAGGGATGCGCAGGGTGCTGCAATTACTGGGGATGCTCAGGGTTTTGCAACAGACGCAGCGCCTCTTGATGCTGAACAGCATCGTGTCGCAAGCAGCGCAGCACTGGGTGCTGCAAGTGATCACCGAGAGCTTGCTGAGGCCCACGAGCTCTTGGGTGACCCGCCTAAGGTCCACGCTGGCAGCAGCCCAGTCCACGTCAGCAGGAGCAACCGGAGGAAGCTAGCGGTGGTGGCAGCGGTGGATGAGGAGACGCGGAAGGGCATGGAGGCATGGATGCAGGACGAGGTGAAACGCGCTGTGAGCCGTGGCTTGAAGCAGCTCCGGCAGAAGCTTCTGGAAGATGTGGACAAGCGAGGTGAGTTTTGAGACGCTGTGGACAAGCAAGGTGAAATTATGATTGGATAATATCTCTGATGCTGATATTTGGGCTTTTTTTCATTCCATACCTTTAAGCAGGCACTCCTGAATCGCAAATCCTGTTCATGAACCCTATCTCCCTGATGCTCAGGTCATGAAGTCTGATAGACATTACTCTTTTTTAGGCGCCTCAAAAGTCATCCCCACCTCCCTCTTCCCACACTCCGCCCTCGTCACATCTTTCCCTCGTGTGGTCTACAGTGCGCAAGCTGCAGCAAGGGAGCCATTGCGGAGGGAAGAAGAGAAGCGGCTTAAGAGGGAAAGGGGGCAGCAACTGCAAAAAAAGTTCCAAGTGTGGGAAATCCCACAAGAGCAAGAAATCGAAGGAGCACTACAGTGATTCTTCGCTATGGAACCCTTCGTTACTGTCACACAAGCCGTTCCCAAGCAGCATTAACATACGGTCATACGTGTTTCAAGGCCCGGTGGAAATCTCGGGAATTCACGAGCTAAACAACAGTGGGACAATCACCAGGCAGACCCAGATTGCAATCACCAAAGCAACGGCTAAGGACAATGGTACAGTGAGTCAGAACGAGCCACAGTCACAGCGGAGCGCACATGGTGGTGTTGGTATGGAGGGTCACAGTATGGGGAGTGGTGGCAGCAGCAGTAGCCAATCAAAGGAGAGGATGACTGGTGGGAAGCATGGTGATGAGAAGAGTCATTACCAGGGTGAGCATGGCGAGGGGGGTGGTGGAGAGGAGAAGCATGGGAAAGTTGGGGAGGTGAAGGAGATTGTGGGAGAGGTGAAGAATCATGGGCTTGTTGGTGGTGTGGGGGCTATTGCTGATGATGATGTGAGTGGCTGTGAGAGCGGGAGCTGTACAGTGTCGTGTGGTGGTGACTGTGGTGGTGATGGGGGAGGTGGTAACCGTTACAATAATGTCAGCATCGATAATAACGGCAGTGGGTATATCAATGAGAGCACCTACAATAATGGTAACAGGTACAGTAATGTCAGCATAGATAACAGCCGCAACGGGTATGTTAATGGCAGCATCGACAATAGTGGCAACAGGTACAATAATGTTAGCGTTTCTGGTGACGACATCTACAGTAATGTTACCATTTCTGGTAACAATAGCTATAGAAATGCCAGCATATACAGTGGCAACAACAGCAGTGGTTACAACAACACCAGTGGCAGCTACTATGGGGACAATGCAAGGGCTGGAATGGGGGGGTGATGTGATTACTGTAGTCTGATGAGATGTACAGTAATAAAGGCTGTAACAATGCCTCCTTTGCAGTAAATATTCGTTTCTTTCTGTTTGTACTGCATGTGTACATAACTTGCCTGCATGATTTGGCTTAGCTCACATAGACACAAACGATTGTACACTAAGAGTTTATTACACACTTCACAATGAATAGAAACTTAATTGTCTCATTGACGCGTCCAACCTAGCTGTGAAGCACGGTACATGAGTTTGCTGCTGCGGCTGCTACGATAACCCTGAAATGAGGCAAGGGGGGCAGCGGCAGCTAAATAAGGCCCTATTGAGGCAATTGAACCAGCTGCAAGCTACACCGGGTTGAGGTCAAGAAAGGCTGTTGAGTGGTCAGCGGTGTTAGGCTGAAAAAAAAAAGGCCTTAGGATCTTTGCAGGGGTGAACTCTGGGTAGAGTTGGTGTAGTAGCGGAAGCGTTAATTAAGGAGCTGTGAACCACCTTGCGCTAGTATGTGAGGGCAAAGTAAGTTGATTAAAACAAAGAGATACAAGATTATATAAGAGTACAAGGAATATGAAAGGATACGGCTATAACTGTTTTACTTGTTGCTGTTGCGGTTCGATACAGTGACGACTCGGGCAACTGCTCTGCAGCGAGTCAGTTGTGTGTCCTTGCTGTCGCGCTGTACTTGTCAGGTCAAAGGTCGCTGACCTTTGACTTTCGCGTAACCTCCAGCGGTTACTTCAACCTCCGAGGGTTGACTCGCTGGTGCCTCGGTATGCTTTGCTTCGCTTGTGCCTTAGTGTTTCGACACGACAGAAGCGCTTAGGACCGATTGTTTCCAACACTCCCCTTCGCTTCTGGAGTGTCGCTGACGTGGCTCTGTCCAGTCAGCAGCATGCAGTATTCGAACTTCTGCTTTCCGTGCTTCTTGGTCAGGTAGTCAGCTGCCATCTCGGACGTGGGGCAGTATGACAGCTCGAGCCTTCCCTTCTCGATCTCGTCCTTCACGAAGAAATATCGCAGGGCGATGTGTTTCGTCCTGTTCGCGAAGCCGTTCTTGTTGGCGATGCGAATTGCCGATTGGTTGTCGCAGAACAGGGTAAAGTTGGGTAACTCGGCTAACTTCGCTTCTTCCAACAGCTCGCGAAGATAGAGTCCTTCCTTGGTGGCTGAGCAGAGTGCAATATATTCTGCTTCAGCTGACGAGAGAGCAATTAATTCCTGCTTGCTCGATTGCCAGGAGATAGGTCCGATAGGCTCGAAGCGGTAGATGTAGCCGGTGCGCGATCGTCTGTTGTCGGAGTCGCCCGCGTGATCTGCGTCGACGTAGCCGATTAGCTTAGGCGTTGTAGTTGCGTTCTTATGGTAAGTCAGGCCGACCGTCGGGGTACTGACAAGGTAGTGAAGAGCGCGGTCGAGCTCCGCCAGATGTTCCGCTTCAGGCTTCTTGAGGTGGGTGGCGAGCTGGCTTGCAGAGTAGGATAGATCTGGGCGGCAGGTGACAGCTGCGAAGAGAAGGCAGCCCAGCTTTCTCTGGTAGTCGCGTATGCCGGCGGGCTTGAGTAGAGCGGAGCCTTCCTTGTTGTTTGCTATCGTGTAGCGGTACGGTGTGGAAATGACAGTCGGTGTGAGTGCGAAACGCTTGGCGATGGTGTCGGCGTATTTCGCGGCGCTGAGGTAGATAGCGTCTTCCTCTTCCCGGATGTTGAGGCCGAGGTACTGTGTGACGGTAGATGAGACCGTGAGTGTGAGGTCTTGCTGTAGCTCCCTTTCGAACCAAGTTGTAATGCCGTTAGTTGAGCCGATGTAGAGCAGATCGTCTACATAGACGATTAGCAGGATGTAGTCGGTACCCTTCGTGAGCCGGTACATGCCCTGGTCGTGCGGCAATTGCTTGAAGCCGATGCGAATGAGGCGAGCGTGTAGGTATTGTTGCCATAGTCGCGGAGCTTGCTTGATGCCGTAGAGCGACTTGAGTAGTTGACAGACGTGGTTCGAGTCCGTGCTGGAGCCGTGTGGTAGCTCGACGAAGATCTCTGCGTCAACAGGTGCGTAGAGGAATGCGTTAGCGACGTCGATTTGCCGCAGCTTCTTCTTCTTCATGGCGGCGATCGCGAGAAGGATGCGTAGCGAGGTGTGTCGGCTGACCGGAGCGAATGTTTCGGTGAAATCGCGTCCGTGCTCTTGGTCGAAGCCGCGTACGACCCAGCGTGCCTTAAATTTGTCGATGGTGCTGTCAGCCTTTGTCTTCACACGGAAGACCCACTTCCCGGTGAGCACTGTCTTGTTCCGTGCCACGCCGATAGGAACCACTTTCCACGTGTTGCGTTCCTCCAGTGCCTTCAGTTCCTTGTCCATGGCTTCACGCCATTTTTCCTTATGTTCCCCCCCCCAGAGCCTGCTGAACCGTCGCAGGCTCTTTAGGAGTGGCGGTGCCGTGGACTGCGGTGACGAGTCCGAGAATCTGCAGTCCACTCTGTGAGTAGCGGGGGAGATTTACGTCCTCGGGATAAGCTGCTTCATCTCCCGCTTCTGGATCAGGTATGAAGTTCGGTCCTACTCGTTCTGCTTCGTTGGTGTTGACTGTCGCAGGTGTTACGTAACCGTTGTCGGCGAAATGGTAGAAGGTTTCGGCGTTGGCACTTTCGCGAGGGTTGTCTTCGTCCATGGGAACGTCGACGGAGCAGAACGGAAGAGGTCCGGCTTCTTCTGATGCGTTGTCCACATTCTGCTCGTCCCAGTCAGCTTCGTCCGCTGCTGAGGCGAAGGCTCGGTCACCACAAAAACCACCTGTGGGATCCTGGTCTTCGTGCAGGTTGGCAAGGTATGTCTGGAGCGTGAGTCGTTCGTAGAAAATTACATCACGTGCTGCTACTGTTTCCTTGGAGTGGACGTCGAAGATTTTCCACGCGTTGTAGTTCTTTTCGATTCCCAGGTGTAGTCCCCACTGTGCCCGTTGAGAAAATCGGCCCGCTCGTGCTGCTGGGGGTCGGTACTGTACCATGCATCCGAATACTCGTAACAGTTTTGTGCTGCCCTGTTTCCCTGTCCATAGCAGATGCGGTGATGCGTTGTTCGGAAGCGATGATGACGACAGCAAGTTGTGCAGCATGACGGCGTGGTCCATTGCTGCAGGCCACTGGTGGTTGGGTAGCCGCATGCCACGTAACAGTTTGCGCATGCTGTTCTGCAAGGTCCTGTTCATTCTTTCTGCTACACCCTGCTGCTGATGGGCGTAGGGAAGGGAGATGAGCCGCTTGATTCCCCTTTCCGCCAGGTACTGCTTGAATCGCTGAGAGGTGTATTCTCCTCCTCCGTCTGACTGGAAGCTTTTCAGTTTCACGCCCGATTCTCTCTCTGCTACTGGTAGCCAGGCCACGAAGGCTGCGAATGCCATGTCGCGGCTAGGGAGGTTTAGGTGCCAGACGTAACGGGTGGCGGCGTCGATGAAGGTGATTGTATAGTTGTATATTACTTGTCCTGGTTCCCGATTGTACAGGATGTCGCTGTACACCTTCTCGAGTGGTGCGTACGCGGGTGCGCTTGGGTTGTGATGAGACGCAAACGGTCGATGTGGTAAGTCACCTTCAGGGCAGGTGAGGCACGTTCCGCGTACTCGTTGAAGTTCTCGTCCGTCGGTCAGTAGGAGTGAGTCCTTGTCGAGTACTCCTGCTCTTATCGTATTGTTTAATACTGTGTTGCTTGGGTGTCCCATCCTTGCGTGCCAGGTGCTTTCGTCGGCGCGATGTCCGGGTGATCGTCGGTACATATCGGAGTTGGAGTAGAAGTTGGCGGTGAAGTTGGCGCTGCGATGAACTTCTCGTGGTGCTGGGTGTAATTGTTGCGAGGGTGTCGGTGGTGTGTCGTCGATGAGGTTTGGTGTCGTTGGAGGACCAGCAATTGGTGTTGACGTTCCTGCTGCTGCCGTTGATGGTTCTGCTGCTGCCGATGTTGTCTCTGCTGCTGCCGATGTTGTCTCTGCTGCTGCCGATGCTGTCTCTGCTGCTGCCGATGTTGTCTCTGCTGCTGCCGATGTTGTCTGAATTGTTGCTAACGCCCTTGTTCTTTCTGCTTCAGGGATGGTGTGTGAATACCAAAAGCCTTCTGGACTGAAGTCTGGATCAAGGTCTGGAGGGTGTGTCCAGTTGGTGAAGTTAACGATGGCGTCGCTGTCGGCGGTGCCAAGATCAGGAACGAAGTCAAGAACGAAGACGTTGTTTTTGAGGACCGCCTTACCGATGTAAAGTCCTCCTCTCCCGTGATACAGCTTGAATTCTTGGGTGGTGCTGTCTGCTTCGAGGTGAATCCCTTTCGCCATTAGCTGACTGACGCTCAGTAAGTTGTAGCCGAGTCCCTCCGCGATTAGTACCTTTGACATCTGCAGTATAACGTTTGTTTCCCTTGACTGAAGTTGAACTACGCCTTGTCGTCGTGTTCGCAGGTTCTGATTGTTGGCGACTGTAATGACAACTTCGCGTTGAAGTTGGTGTTCTCGTTGAACGAAGCGTCCCGAGGAGCACATGTGCTGTCCGCAGCAACTGTCCAAGAACCATGTGTCCTTTCCGGATGGTTCGCTTTGGGCGATGGCGGCGTATGTCGGGTTCGGCTGAAGTGACTCGCGGCGGGGTGTGGTTTCGTCGAGTTGTTATTCCGGTGAGTAGTGTGGTGGTGACTCGGTGATGCAGGAGTCACTCAGCTTTGCCATGCAGCTGACGATGTTTCTTGCTCCTTGTGCAGGTTGTCCCGTTGAAGTCGTTGAGGCTTGAATCTGAGTCGTGGGATTTGCTTGCGTTGAGGTGATTTGGCTACTTGAAGGTCGAAGTTGCCGCTGTGGAGTTGTTGACTGTTGACGGTTCGGGCAGTGTGTACGCGGGTGTCCTGAAGTTTTGCAGATGTGGCAGAACGGAGGTACTGGCTTCGGTTGTTGCTGCCGGTTGTTGTTGTTGTTGTAGCGTCGCTGAGTGTGGAACGCGAATTCCGGTGCTGATGTCTTCTTTTTGTGTCGTTCTTCTTGCAGGTCCATGTCTTGCTGCTCGGCGTGGATTTCGGCGCAGAGCGCTGCTTCGGAGATTCTTCCGTGAGCTCGGAGAATGGCCTTTGTGGCGCGCCATTGAGGACCGAGGCCGCCGATGAGGACTGTCACGAAGGCGTCTTCAGAAATCGACCCTCCGCATCGAAGAAGCTTGTCGCGCAACTCGCGACATCGACTGATATATGCCATTCCTTTCTCCCCTGGTTTCATTTCAACCGTTGTCAGTTGCGCCATTAACCGACTTTGGCTTACGCTGTCTGTTGCTTGATACAGGCTCTTCAGGTGGTTGTACGCGAGCTCCGCGGAGTTGCCGTAACCTCGGTAAGACCTTATGTTCTGCTGTTGAGTCGGGGTGATATTCCTCAGTAGGATCGTGTACGCCATCATTGACTGATAGGTGTACTGCTGCTTCTCGTACTGTGTGCCGTTTGTTGGGTATGGCAGAGACCCGTCGAAGAACCCGAGTATCTGCGCGCCTTCCATCATCAGCTCGAACTCGAACGACCAGGTGAAGAAGTCCTTTCCATCGAAGGGTCTTGACGTCTGCATCTTCAGGACGTGTGCGAACTGCGACTGAACTTGTAATGCGTCCAGTGATTTTTCTTGTCCAGGTGAAGGCTGTGGGTGTGGCATGAAGCTGATGGACCCGCGCTCGTACGGAGCAAAGGTAGGCTGCTGTTGTTGATTTCCTCGTGCATATGATGAGCCGTCGAGACTCATGGGTGTTGCTCCGTTGTTGTTGCTGTTGTGTGACTGCGCAGGTGCCGATTGCTGGTGTTGCTCGTAGAGGGACATGAAGGAGAAAAACTTCTCCATCATGCTCTGGTCGAAGTCTGCAGGTTGATTCGCGGGAGTCTCGGTAGATGTTGCTCTGGGTTTTGTTGCCGTGCCCTCCTCTGTCTGTAGGCCAGAGGCAGGAGGTGGTGTAGGAGTAGTGCCCTGGGAGCCGTTGGAGTTGCTCCTTTCCTTTTGTGTAGCCATGCTTGTTGGTGTTGTCGGTATAGAAGTTGAATTCCCCCTGATAGCTCTCATACCATGTTAGGCTGAAAAAAAAAAGGCCTTAGGATCTTTGCAGGGGTGAACTCTGGGTAGAGTTGGTGTAGTAGCGGAAGCGTTAATTAAGGAGCTGTGAACCACCTTGCGCTAGTATGTGAGGGCAAAGTAAGTTGATTAAAACAAAGAGATACAAGATTATATAAGAGTACAAGGAATATGAAAGGATACGGTTATAACTGTTTTACTTGTTGCTGTTGCGGTTCGATACAGTGACGACTCGGGCAACTGCTCTGCAGCGAGTCAGTTGTGTGTCCTTGCTGTCGCGCTGTACTTGTCAGGTCAAAGGTCGCTGACCTTTGACTTTCGCGTAACCTCCAGCGGTTACTTCAACCTCCGAGGGTTGACTCGCTGGTGCCTCGGTATGCTTTGCTTCGCTTGTGCCTTAGTGTTTCGACACGACAGAAGCGCTTAGGACCGATTGTTTCCAACAAGCGGCACTAAGAATTAAATACGACAGTATGCATCGTTATGCTTGCCAAGGAAGGAGCTACACTGGCTTGAGGTCAAGGAAGGCAGCTAGCTCTGAAACGAGGCGAGGGGGCCAGCGGCGGTACTCGCTCACCCACTCGCGATCGCGATAACGCCCATCCTGATGGGAGGATGGGGGAGGGAAGTGGAGGGAGGAGGTGGGGAGAAGAGCGTTGGGGGGAGACAGATGGAGCCTGGAAGGCAGGGAGGAGATGCCGGGAGGACAGACAGGAGGGCAGCGGCGATACCAGCATACCCACTCGCGGTCGCGTTTGCGCCCGTCCTGGTGGGAGCATGGGGAAGGGGATGGTTGGGATGAGAAGGATGGAGCTTGGAAGTTGGAAGGCAGAGCAGACAGGTACGGAGTTCATGCAGGGAAGAGAGTCAGGGGAGACTGGCAGGGAACAGAGGCAGGAGAAGAGAGTCGATTTTCAGTATCCCCCTCTCGATAATGACAAGCTTGGCACGAGGGAAGGGAGTTAGAGAGGAGCGGAGTGAGGTAACAAGGAGAGAAGCATTAGGTAGTGCCATGGTTGCAGAAAAATAGCAGAGAAATACAAACTTCAGGGTAGGGGAAAGAAAGGATGAACAGATGTGCGGAATGAGAATAGAGAGGGTGAAAAGAACAGAATAGAGAGCTCACGTCGACTCTGCTCCAGGCGTTCTCAGCTTCGGCTCTCAGTCCCGCTGCGTAGAGTGCCACTGCCAGTGCTGCTCGCATGTCGGGGAACTGCAGAGGTGCAGAGGTGCAGAGGTGCAGGGGAGCGGGAGTAAAGATGAGAACATGGCAGTGTTCACGCCCTGCAGGGTGGGAAAGAGAGCTCGCGGTGATTCGAAGTGATCCATGGCAGCACTGCTCAGATGGCAGTACCACTCACTCACCCCATGCATCATCATGCATGAATACATATGAGGTGAGTGACAATGCAGCACCACTCACCCCATGCATCATGCATACATCACACACATGTCGCTATTATTCCGCACCGTCACTCACCTCAGGGTACTTTCGGAGAAGGTTCCTCATCTGTTTGATAGCAGCGTTGTCGTTTCCCACCTCGTACAATGCCTGGAGAGGGGACAAGGGACAAGGGTGGGGGTGGGGGGGTGAGTTGGTTTTTGAGAAGAGAGGGGACAAGGGACAAGGGTGGGGGTGGGGGGGTGAGTTGGTTTTTGAGAAGAGAGGGGACAAGGGACAAGGGTGTGGGTGGGGGGGTGAAGAGGAGTGACAATCACGGAATGAGGAGCCACGTAAGACAGGTGGGAGGGTGGGCACTTGTGAGAATTCGTAAGGGTGGGGGCGAGGAGTGAGGGGTGAGGGGTGAGGGGTGGGGGATGTGCGGCGAGGGTTGAGAGGTGATAAGTGAGGGGCGCGGGAAATGGAATGGATGAGGGGTGAAGAAGAAGACTTTTGAGTCGACTCAAAAGTCACCTTGAGGGGCGGGAGATGTGCGGCGAGGGTTGAGAGGTGGTAAGTGAGGGGCACAGGAAATGGATGAGGGGTGAAGAAGAATAGAGGAGGAGGGGGGAGAAGAAGAGAGGGTTGGGGGGTGGGGGGAGGTGGTTATAGAGGGGTAAAGATGGGGGATAAAGATGGGGGATACAATTGTGCTAAATACCCAGAGTAAACTTAGAAGCAGCAAGGAACAAGCTCGAAAACCTGGAGTCCAGACTCACGAGAGCGTAATTGGCAGCAGCAAAGGAGAAGACCGGAGCCAACATGCTGGCCCGCCTGTAGCTCTCCACTGCATCCCCCCACGCCCCCACACCTGCCTGCATGACAGGGACAGTGAAGTAGACGAAGGAAGAAGGGGGGGAGAAAGGGTTGGAATAGACAACCCCATTGACTTTATTGACACCATTGACCCCACTGAACCCATTATCCCCCACCTCAGCAGCAGCACCCCCACCTGTGCGTTGCATTCCCGAGGTTGTTCCACGCTGCAGGGTCGTTGGGCGCCACTGCCAGCACTGCCATGCACGTGCCCCTCCATTGACCTTGTTGACCCACATTGGCCCCGTTGGCCCCGCCCAATCATCCAACCCGTGCTCACCATCTCATCACCCGCACCTGTGCGTTGTCCAGGTTGTCCCAAGGGTCACCCTGACTCATATTCGAAGGGCTGCAGCCACTGCAGCCCTTCGAATATGAGTCAGGGTCATCCAACTCGTGCTCACCATCTCAGCACCCGCACCTGTGCGTTGCCCAGGTTGTTCCAAGCAGCAGGGTCGTTGGGCGCCACTGCCATCTCTGCCACGCATGTGCCCCATTAATTAGATCCATTGACTTGCATTGACTCCGTTGACCCCATCATCCCCCACCTGTGCGTTGCCCAGGTTGTTCCACGCTGCAGGGTCGTTAGGCGCTACTGCCAGCACGGCAGAGTAATCAGCCGCAGCTTCCTGGAAGCGCCCCAGCGACTCCAGCGCCACGCCCCGGTTGAGGACTGGGTCAACTGCATAGCTGATGGCGAAGCGGGGTGTGCAGATGGGAGAAGGGGTGAGAGGAAGACAGGAGGGGTGAGAGGAAGACAGGAGGGGTGAGAGGAAGACAGGAGGGGTGAGAGGAAGACAGGAGGGGTGAGAGGAAGACGGCATGGAAGAACTGTGCATTAACAGGACCACACCTCGGTTTCGGACTGAGTCAACTGCATAGCTGATAGCGAAGCGGGGTGTGCAGAGAGGGATGGGAAGGGTGTTGACCAGAGGATGGGTCAGACGATGGGAAGGGCGGGCAGTGGATGGATGGAGGGGGTGAGACGCGGAGAGATTCGAGGTGCTAATAGGGCCTCGCCTCGGTTGCAGACTGGGCCGACTGCATAGCTGATGTGAGGGGTGCGCTGAGGGGAGGAGTGGTCAGTGGAGGGTTGACAGGAGGATGGGATGGAAGAAATGGGCACAGCATAGATCAGCTCAGCAGAGAGCAGCAGTGGAGCAAGCACACCAGGCGAGGCCAACGGCAGCATCGCAATGCTTCTCTTCCAGCAGGGATCAGCAGAGCAGCGCGCTGGCTTTGTTCGTCTTGTTCTTTTCCTGCCTGCACCTCGCGTTGGGTGGTGATTGATTTGCCTTTACAATTAGTACGTACGGAGCGTAGGCGATGGCAGCGTTGTAGTCCCCTAGAGCCTCCACCAGTCTTCCCTGTCTCGACCGTGCGTTGCCTCGGTTGCCCAGCGCTCTCGATGCAATGTCTGGCACCCATTCGGCATTGCCTGCCCGCTCGCACGATTCGATCACCACCGTCCATAGCGCCTCCTCCTCCTCCACCTGCCAGCACGCACAATCTGGACCGTTGATAAGTCGACGGTGTAGAGGTGGAGCACATATAGTCACAGCTATGCACAGTGGAAGGAGTGAGGGCGCATCCAAAAGTATACAGGTGGTCTACTTATAGTCAAGAGGAAGGAACAATGGAAACAGTGAGACAGGTTTGAAGGTGTTCTACAGGGATCAATGGTGTGAAGGTGGTCCTCATATAGTCACAGGTGGTCCACATACAGTCACAGGGACGGGACGTACAGTGGAAGCAGTGAGGGCGCGTTCAAAGGTGGTGGCAGCAGCCCGGAGCTTCTCATCGGTGGGGTCAAACGTGCCTCTGGGTGCAGCAGCTAGATCGATCCTCGCTGGAGGAACAGGCCCTCCCGGATTCCCTGCAAATGCTGACGTGGCTGCTGACGTGGATGCTGACGTGGATGCGGATGCGGATGCTGACGCGGAAAATGACATGGAAAGCGACATGGATCCTGAGGCAGAAGCAGAGGCCGAGCTGGACGCTTCGGTTCCAAATTCGAAAAGTTCAAATGCCCGGGCGTGACTGAAACGAGAGGCTGCATCCGGCAGGAGGAACGGGGCTAGACCCCACAATCCAGTGGCAGCTCCGAGTAACAGCAGCTTCCTCCGTCCCCCGATATTATCACTCTCATTTGTAACAGCGTCTGAAGCGGATTCCGATGCGAGCCCTACACCCTCAGACTGGGGATTTGATTCCGAGGACGAACGGTTAGCTGCGGAATGAGTCATTCTTAGACAATCGTGGCCGTTCGATCCCGTGTTCGCCAGGTTCGTGTCCGCTGGCCCATCCATGCGATCCTCTCTTCTCGCTCTCGTTATAAAACGTCTCGATCGTCGTAGTGGTAAGTGAGTTGCCTGTCCTAACCTTCCTTGCTGGTGAACCGCCGCCGACGGCACCATCGTTATTTCTGAAGGGCAGGCTTGACTCTTGCTGAAGCTACTGACTCTATTGCTGATGCGCGACTCGGACGAGACATTGACTGGCGGCACTCGAGCCGCGTTGACCGCCATCGTTCCAGTCAGCGAGAAACTGGCAGTAAGCATATACTTACAATCGAGTTCACCTAGATTCACTGCTACCACTGCGAAGTTCGTATGACTAAATCACGATCACGGAAATATGAATGAGAGCAGAGCTATGAGCTAAACGGCGTGCGTGTGCGTCCACAAGGGTGCGTTACGCTTGGACGAGTTTCATTTAGGGCGACGTCAGGTTGTACAACTTTTTGCACGCCCTCTGCGATCAACTTAGTTTCGTCGCGGTGCAAAACGGTGATGCTTAAAAACCGCTTTACACCGTGTGGAACCGTCCTGAGCCACGATGCAAGAATTGTGTATGTGAGAATTGTACAGCCTGACGTCGCCCTTAGTTGCATGCGTATGGGTTTGAAGGGTTTGAATACGATGATGTGCATTCTACAGCGGTACGCTGGATCCACCGCTTTGAACCGCGACATACCAGCCTGGACAGTGATACATGAGTAGTAAACAATGTAAGGGTGACACGCTGTGGGCTTATCGCCGAAGCGGCGTCTTGTGGGTCAGAACGCTCCACGATGTAGTTCTGATTTCCCACAGGAAAGCATAAATAATCTCCGTATGCAGGGCAGGCCTACACCATGTCCACACTGATTAATATCTAGTCCTATTTCTGAATAGTTGGGTTATTTGGAAAAAACAGCAACAGTTGCTCGAAGAACAAGCTGTGAGCGTAAATGTCTGACATTTTGAAGACGGCTGTGCTAGTAAGGAAATAAAATGGAATATTACATATGTAAATACATAGAGAATACGTAGTGTTTAAAGCATGTTACATGATTTTATGCATATATTTTATGTTTTAAACTGATTTATGGCTTAAGATTCTGCAAAATCCGGAATGAGCTATTTTGACATTTGTGCACTTTACCTGTCACTCTAATTGTTCATTAGCGGGTGTTTTAAGAGTGTACACGTGAGGCAAAGGCATTGTTCAATAGCGGGTATTTCGAAAGTGGTACAACTGAGGCGGACTACTGTCTGAAAATTGTCGTTATCGGCAAGTGCGCCACCGACACTATACTCCAGGTATGACATGGCTGTGTCATTTCTAGGGGTTTCTTCAATATCGTGGCCGTTCGTCAGCCTTCAAACGGCCAAGATGAGTAGAACAAACAGGTTCGGAAATTGGGTTCGACAACGCTTACCCAGCGCCTTGTGGTTCGGCAAGGGAAGGCGTTGAAAACTGTACAGCGTTTTGATGAAACCCCGCTCCCGCTACAACAAGGGAAGAATCGAGCAGCTTGATACAGGCATGAATGTTTTCCTGAAAGGGCAGTTACAATACAACACACTGCCCAGTTTATGCAGCATGTCACTTGTGCGCTTCGACAACCTCGACTTCAAAAGCAAAATTTGCTGGTGCCCCACAACGACTGGTCTTTCCTTCCACCCACCCTGTCTCGTCACTCTGCTCCCCCTGCCGCCCCGTTTCCCCATGTCCCCCATTTTCCGTCTTGCTAATCACCTGCACAGAAATCCTCGAACCGGTTTGCATCCTGCAGTAACGCGCATTTCGGTGTTTCTCAAAATTCTTTCAAATTGCATCTCATTCCCCGCCAGCCCCCAACCACACCCGTTTGCGCGGCCCAGATTTTCTAAATGGCGGAACAGCCGCCACCCGCCACGTCACACAACGCAACAACCCCACCTTGGCTCACCAGACCCTGGTGCACTGCGGAAAGAACGAGCAAGAAGAACCAGCCAGCCCCCAACTGAGCCTCGATCCACCACCAGATTTGGGGGTTCACCTGGGTAAACACCGCCACCTTCTGCTGGACCAAATCGCACATTCCAGGAGGGAAGCCCTGCCAAATACATCGGACCCCAGGGTTAGACTCCATACCGAACCAAACCAGACCAGACCGAGCATCAGCTTTGCCCTACCCTGTTCTTCTTTGGCGGCTGTATGCGAGTGAACAGTAGGCAGCGAGTACATTTGCTAGGGCTCAAAATTAGTCTCAAAGATCTGCATGTGAGCCAGACTAGAAAGATATGCCTACATGGAGTAGCGTTCGAGCTAATTACGTTTCCTTCACCGTCATATGTCGCTCTGAGATAGTGTCTAAGTTTTAGAATTCATTGATTCCGTTTGTTAGGCTAGATTGTCGGAAACCTCCTGCTTTGGGTTAGATTTGACTTGGCATCTCCTCTCCTGCTGATGGAGTTTCCACGGCCGGGTGAGCGTTCATTCCGTCGCTCGAAGTGCGAGATGCAATTTCTGGCCACGTCGTGCTGCTCGCACGCCACGTCGCATCCGTTTCTTCTCCAAAAATCCTCCCTTTTTTCGTTTGTCCTTACATTATTCATCCCCCCCTCGCTTTCTATCGACCCAATGTGTCACGTGTCAGCTCGGCCGGTCATTCTGGCCATTCTCCTCTTGTCGCTGGCCGCGCATTCGCACACGCAGACGACTTACGACGAGTTCCTGGACAAAATCGAGAGCGTTCTTAACGGGTCCACGCCTGTCGGCAAGGTTGATTGTAAGTGCTTGTAGCGAATGATGCAAGCCACCATTCCAAATGATGTTTGTTTTCTTCTTGGTCCGTCGAATTTCTCCGCTTTCAACGACCTGCGCATGTATCCCCTCGTCTCGTGCGCTCTCCGCTTTCTCGCTACCCCCCCCCCCCCCCCCCCCCCCCTCCCCCTCCTTCCAACCTCCCCAACCACCCCGCCTTTTTCTTTCCGCCCACCCCCTCCTCCCCCTTCCCCCTCCCCTCCTCCTTCTCCACCCTTTCCGCCCTGCAGCCATCCTGTTCACGCAGGCCAATCGGTACAACCTGGCTCGCAGCAATAAAGCCCGCGCCAAATCCGCCTCGCAAGGCGGCGGCAAATCCGTCTCCCACAGATATCCCTTCCGCAGTAACTCGCACCGCAGCTCGGTCGCGTCGGACCCTGGCGTCGACAGTAGCAGCGGCAATACCGGCGGCAGTGCCAGCGGCAGTAGCGGCAGCAGCTTCGGCTTGATCTCGCGTTTTTTTTCTAGTTTCTTCAGCGTCCGCTCCAGCGCGACAACATCTGGGTTTACTAAACCGGCTCCGCCGCTGTCCACCTTCCAAAATGGCGTGAAATGGCTGAGCAGCAGCGCGGCAGCTAGCAAATCCAACCGTGCTAAGCTAAACTTTTTACTTAAGCTGCTGGGACAGCCAAGCCTCAACGAGGCTCTGGGGGATAAAAAATCCGCTTTTTTCATACCCGCGGATGCGAATGTTACGTTGGAGGCGGAAGGTGTTACGAATCTTACTGCTGCGCAAGCTACAGTGCCCAACACTGTACCGACGACACCGGCGCCAGTTTCCGGGCAGAGTTACGGTCAGAGTTATGCGATGATGAGCTCTGGCACGGTCGGGGTGCTGCACGACGATGACGACGATGAGAGGAGAAGTCGCGGGGGGCGGCAGTATCGCATCGAATGCCACGATGATGAAGAGGACGACGACGAGGAGGAATGCATAGAGCCGGTTGGGAAAGTGCGAATCATCAAATACACGTGAGTGCGCAGATTAATATATGATAGCATAGGTGTAGTTAATCATCATAACCCCCCAAACTAACTGCATATCGAAATTGTTCATCTCCTCACCCAACCATATGTGCAGCTCCCCGGAGAACATCTCTTATGTGCTACTCCGAGCTAAGAGCGAGTGCTTGCCTGACGTGCGCAAGGTGCAGATCCGCAATGCTCCTTATGGAAAAACTGGGAGTCTTGTTTTGGAGATTCCAGGTTCGTGGCGGCTTGTGGATGATGATGAGATTGAGCTGGTTAAGCACACCTTCATCGCCAATGCGAGCAGCGTGATAGTTGCAAATGGGCAGACTCTGGAAAAGGCGGTTATTTCCATGACTAAGGCGCCGTGGAACTACTATGCCATTTTCACCACAGGAAGCAAGAAGAATGGGGCAATAAGGGGCCAGCTCTGGAAGCCGTTTTGCCCTTGGTGTGGGAACTTCACTTTCACAGGAACCTAGGGTCGAGAGGATCATGTGTTTTGTCGAATCCATGGTGGTGCATTACTGAGGTCTGGCTTGCGGTGATATGTGAAGTCATTTTCACATATCAGTTTAGCTTGTAGTAATAAGTGGCCACTGTCTTGGTGGCTACTGCTAAGGCTGAGTAGATTTTGGGGATGTCAGACATGTAAGGTTGTGCAGATGGGGCATGTTCAATTATTATGAAATAACAAGGAACAAGAATGTCTGTCTGTGTTGTGCATGTGTAAGGAATTTTCTCGATCTTCCTTAGCGCGCCCTGCAACATCGCGTACAGCAGCAGGCGTTGTTCGCCCGTTACTGCTAACGGGGCTTCGCCGACTTCGCGCGCACTGTTTCACCAAACCTCGCACTGCTGGCCTGGCCGTATCGGCCTACGCTTCGGGACTAGCCCGAACCTCGCTTCCAGCATAGCACTA